TTAGCAATGTTCTTTCGACGTCTGATTTCTTTTTAAAAAATGCGTTTCTAAAGTGCATAAACTTTTGGGACTGACTGTATAGCCAATACATCCTTAATCTATAATTCGTGCAGAGATTTTCAAAATCATTGTAGCGAAGTAAGAATTGTCGGTGCAGTCAGCAATGGAGAGTTTCGACGCGCCAGTGTCTGGTCCGGTATGCCCACGGATTCGATATAAATAGACGCGAGTGCAGCGTACGTTCGTTCGTTCGTTCGTTCCTTCGTTCGCTCATGCCCTCCTGAGGCTATTCGATAGATAGACAATCGATTCAACCAACTATGTAAACGTGTAAGTATGTAGAATATAGTCATGCTTATTACATATATATATATATATATGTATATAACTTCTTGTCACGAAGATAGTTTCTTACGGTTATAATATAATTTTTATTTCTGCGCTCGCCTGTGGAACATAGGCAATAAAAACGACGAAACTCACAACATAAATAATACTAACAATAGTAATAGTGTGACCACTAGCGTTGCTTATTAATAAATTGACAGTTATACGAAATGATTTGTGAACTCTGCGTTCGAAACTCCCGACATAGCGGCAACGAATTGTATGCACTGTAAAGCGAACGATCGAGTAGCTATCTTTGGAGAAGGATGTCACGCTTTTTCGGTATTGTGTAACAATAAGCTTCCTCTAATTGTGAGCCCGAAGTGTGAACTCGATGAGCGATGTACGTATATAGTATAATACAGTTCGGTAATTCAGTTTCACGAATCTCTCGCTTCGCGAGTGATTTCGAAGAAAGGTACGGGAATAGTAAATCGCTTATTTCGAGGCAGCCAATCCCGTAAAAATAGAAAGAATAAGCGACTTCCGTACGCATTTGTTCGGATAACGGCATGAGACTACTCGATTACCGATTACTCGATTAAATAAAGTATAGTGTCCGTAGGTGTGGCGTTTGTATGTAAGTACTCGTGCGCGCATACTCTATTGTATATATCGTGCAGGTACATCGGCCTTTGAACGGAAACGCGATTCCTTCCTATACGTATCGAATTAGTTGCATAGCTAGCTATTTACGTACAGCACTACGGAATGGCATAAAGTACATATTAATGAACGTAGTACTTTTGTAAGAACTTACGTACGCGTACGTGTACAGATTTCTCGAACGCTCACGATCGACTCGGCCTATTTAGCCTCGATACGAGATAAAGCTATTTAAAGCATAATAGTTAAGCGAGTAAAATTAAAATCGATATCGAATCGCGCGTAAACGCCAACCGAACGGGAACACCGAACGCGAACCTGAACAGAAGAGCTTTACGCACGAGCGCGAACGCGAATCGCGGATGTAGCTGTAGCTGTTCGATATCTATCGCCGGTCATAGATTTCGTCTCGCGATCAACGCTTATATGCAGCATCACCGCAACCATCGGGATCGTGCCTCGCAAACTTATACCTAAATACATGTATGTATTTAGGTACATACTGTAGCTGTCCACGCCGGAAATACCTACTACACACCATTGGGATTGTGAATGGTGCCGTTGTTTCGCAGCGTTCACAGCCGAGCCGCACCGCGTCGGTTACTCGTCGTAATATGTAAACGATAAAACAATTTTTAACCACGTACGTAGGAGACGTTCTTAACGAGGAATTTAATACGATGGTAGGTAAAAGTAAGTAGTTTTATTCTCCTGTTTTAACTAAAAGTCTGCAATAAATGATCGCCATTCTCTGCTTTTACTTTCCGTTCCTGTTCCATTCGTCATTTTCATCTGACGATAAATATGCATATGTACGTACATGCATATGCATATCCGTTTTGACAAAATACGTACGGGCATGAACTACTGCACACGGGTGGTTACATGCAGCTACGTACATAAGTACATACATTTGAAGAAGGAGAATACTTAATTATTGTATCTTCTCATGCTTTACGCATTGTTTGTAACCTTCCGAACAAAAATGCGTGTGGGAACGAGAAAGGTTGACGTTCGACATCTCATATAATTATACAATTCTATGTACATTCAGAGAACATATCGAGCACGATTCAAATTGTATCAAGTTCGTTCTTTACGAACAAACTTTCGTCGAGAAAAATCCGAAATTATTGACACGTGCGAACTCATCGCTAATGGCAGATTGACTTTTACATTTTACAGAAACTGAACGAACAGGCGAAAACGTTTAAGCGTCTCGTACCAGAAAATCCGTCGATACTTAGGGTGAGAGAGCGAGGTACAGATAAATAGATAAAGAGAGAAAGAGAGGAGGAGAGACGGAAGGGAGAGTTGTTCTCCGTTGGGATTAAAGGCTATGGCCATAGCTACACAACACTCTTCCCCTACTAGTTCACCTTATCCCCCTGTTTCGCTGTATCGTTCTCTTTCTACGCGTATCTCGCTCTTTTTTCTCGTCTAACCCTCCAGTTCTCATTTTCTTCGGCTCTTTTCCCCTAAAAGCCAGGCGAAGTAACCCTGGCACGGCACAGAGCGGGTGCTGCTATACTATACCGTGCCGTCCGGCTGGCTAATCGATACGCGCTGGATGGAGCGACGCCGAATGGGATCCCCGGACACCGGAGGGTTCGAACCAAACCATGGATAGGTGTTATTTTTACCGAACCAAATATACGACAAACGAGAATGTTGAAAAAAAGCTAGCTACGTGTGCGACTGACTCGATTCGATTAGCCAAATAAATATGTACACACACACAATGCACGTAGGCGCATACGAATTAACTTCGTCTTTTAAAACTCGTTGTTGGTAACCGATGTAATTATTACCAGGTGCGCTGTGCACTGTACGCGTTCGTACATCGATGATACACACGCAGGAACGTGTGTACGTCGTTCAAAGATCTTTTAATCGACCGCAATGGAGATGAAGAGAGCTTGAAGAGTACTTACATACGCCGTTGCATCTTTTCTTTCTCATGCGTACATACATACGTAGCATATACATACGCATATACTTATGTGCACATATATTTGGGCGTTACTTTCTTTTGTTCCAGCTTTTCGTCGCGTCTTGTTTCGATCGTTTTTTGCGATCTCTTCTCCACTCAACTATTTCTCCTTTTCTAATTCTTAACCGGAGTTTATTTCGGTGCGAGTTGGTTCAACGGTTAACTATGTATACGTATACATGTGCCATGTGCGTACGTATACGTACTCGGAGCTCGCAGTTGTAGCACAAAGCCTTATTCATAGCCGTCGGCCATAACTGCTGTTTGCGCCTACCGCCGTGCCAGTGCTATTGCCATCCTTACCCTCATCCTCTTCTCATCGAATATCACGATGCCAAGTAGACACGAAGATTGCGATCGCAAGAAAATTGCAACGAGATTTTAATTCCGATCGATCTCTTTCTCCTTAGTTCATCTCAACTTCATCGCTGAAGCGTTCATGGTACATACTTAATCTTTTACGTAGATCTGCTCGAGAAACGCATAAACGATGCGAGAGTTCGAAATTTTACTAATTATGTTCAAATCGGAAAGGGCGCGAGATGACTTCCAAAACGTTCATCTTTTCATCGTAAAATCGTGTTCACGTAAGCTCGTATGGCTGATGTACTTGCAACCTACGCTATGTACACGAATCCTTTATGTTACTTTTCATAGTTTTTATCGTTTTACGTGTATGGACTCTGTATGTACGAGTATCCGTATTACGGCAGCTTGGACATACCCCGCGCACGATGAGAAAAAGTATGCTGCGTCACATCTCACATCGCGACCAACACATCGCAGCTCCTAGTATTGACGTGTACTTACGTTGCCCCGTTCTCGTTCTCGTTCGGTTGTCCATACATACATGTACGCGCTCCCTCCCTATCCCTATCCCTATAGAGATACGTACAGCTTCGTATCGATTTCTATTCTCCTTCTCTTTTCTCGTTTCACGGATACATACACGCGTCCGCAGCTCGCATCCTTTCCACATGTATGCGTACACGATCGAATATGCATATTCTCCCATTCTCACACTATCCTCTTGAAAAAGTTTCATTTTTGTTTTCCTTTCTTGTAACGCGTAACTATTTGCGCTACTTATTTTTCCGAAAGACCTTCATTTCATATTCAACTTTCGACAAAACGTTTAAAAACGAATTAGACATACTAATCGTTATTTCATTATACGCGAACGAGGACGGACAAAAACATGAATGGATCCGAAATCACTTCAGTTATTAGTTAAATAGATACTTAGAAGTCGACGGGCTTACCTGCTACGGTCAGGGTTGCGTTTCGACTTGGAACGGAGCCTGCTTCGTTTTTCGCGACGCACCAATAAACTCCTCCATCCTGCTCTTTCTTTCCATGCATTACTCTCAGGAAAAAGAGGGAACCGGTGGGAAGAAGAACGCGATGAGATTTCGCGTCACCCGGTGACGTTTGAACCAGTTCGCCGTCTTTGTACCATTCGATCACGGGCTGAGGTTTGCCTTCCGCCTTGCAATTCAACGTTACCGGCTCGTTCTTGGCCACGATTATGTCCGAAGGATGTTCCGTTATGCGCGGTGATCTCAATTGCCCTGGAAAATAAGAATTTCGATTAAGAGTCAATTATAAAATATTATGATACCGAATTCGATTTTTCACAAAATTCGATTAACTCTATCCGCTTCAACAAACTACTCTATTTTACGTATTTCATTTTTACCGTGCTCTATAAACGTCTATCATGGCGCAAACACGTTCGTGCAGATGCACAAATGTATACATACGTACGTGTACGAGTATGTACCAATCGCTAAGCCGCGCACACACAGACACTACCTTTTGTCCTCTCGCATCAGTATTCGGAAACAATAGACATTGTGGCTAAATTAAAACCGCCTCCGGTGTTTTCATATTTCGCTAGCGAACAGAATGGTGAGCGCGCGTGCACACCGAGCAACTTGCACGGCTTCTTGCCGTGCGTTCTTCGGTTCTATCCTATAGGCCCCAGGCCAGCAGTCTGCTGTTTCATTTCAGTCGGATCTCTAACCTTCTCCGAATCAACCTATCTTGGTCCAACACACACACACACACACAACACACCTGCCTTATCAAACTAACCCGCCCCAAACCTCTCTCGTCCTCATCTCCCTCCCTCGCCCTTTTACTCTTTTATTACTATCTTTTCTCTCCTCCTTATCCAGCCGTTTTTATCATTCATTCATTTTCTTTACATCGTCGAGATAGTTTAAAAATATTTAATCCATCGTTGTAAAAGCGATGAAACGACCAAGCACAAAAGAAAAATTGCGGAGAAACCCAGGGGACAGTTTGTCGCGGTCGGCCCGATAAATGTCAAAGTATGTCAACGGTTTCGAAAAATAGATCTTAAATACGTGTACGCATACCTTTCTGGAGTCTAAGACTAAACGTTCATTCGTTCGTCATACGAACCTTAAAAACTTCGTTCCTCTAACAATAAAACCAGACAATCACGAATATACTAACGAAAAGAAGAATGGAAATATTACATCGGCTGACCCGTTGCTACGCTATTAGATTATGTCGGATAATGTCGGATAATGTTGAATAATATTGGATTTGGACGATCGGAATTGTAAATTAATTCGTACCATCTGATTCGGTAGCGATGAGAGAGCAAATACAATAGGTCGCAGGTATAGAATCGTAACAACGAAACAGAAATTAGAAGACCGAAAAGGAATGAAAAGGATGGAAGCAGAAGGTATTCGAACGCAGGATAAAGCGTTAGCTTATGGCCCTGCTACGGACTGCATCGTGAGTATTGATTCGCCACTGTTGCTCTTCACGACTGTCGTCCTCACGAAACCGAAAGCTTTGCGAAATCTTCTTCTTTTCATCTCCACTTCTTTCTTTTCATTTTCCTGTTTCCTGTATCGCGTACATACCTATATACAGTCGTTCGAAAAGAAAGAACGAGAAAAGAGAGGAAACGTTCTTCGACGCGAAACGTTTTTAGAAATAAGCTTTCAGTTTAAACTAAAGTAATTAAAAAAACATGGCACAATTCGGAATGCAAAAACCGTGAGTCCTGAACATACAATAGTACTCGTATACAGGTTTAAGCAGAGTATGCACTCGCGTATACGTATGCTGTAGTAGACGTAGATGGTAGATCATGGTCGATGGAATCGGAGAGAAGCTGAAAGGGATAAAAGAAGAACAGAAGGTACCTCGAAAAGTACTAGAGTGCATTTGGCGAGTATCCAGCGGTAGGGTACATAAGTACGTATACGTACATCCATACCTAATACATACTTAAGTATACCGCACGCTGCGGCTGCAAACGGTCGCGACGCGAGTCTCGTCGTAAGAAAATCATTCTATTTTCGAACCATTACCGTAGTCCTTGCATTACTATTTTTATTTCTTTGTCTTTCGTATCTTTATACAATTATTCTAAATCACGATAAGACGTTCGCATCGTGAAATCGATACATTTACCGTATCTCTTGAAGATGATAAATGAAATGTGTGGGTTTGCGTGTAAAACTTGCGAGAGAGAAAGGCGAGGAAATGAAAGGAGGGGATCGAAAGAAGGAAACAGAGAAACAGTTTCATTATTTTCGATCCCTGCTAAGAAGGATATTCTTGTAAGGAAGGAGAGTGGGAGACGACGGAAGGGGAGCATAACCATCGAATTCCTTAAGATGCGAGGGGAACCTAAGACGCGGGGTACTTTCTAAGAGGGTTCCACCCTACTCTGCTCCAATTCTTCCTCGACGAACTTCTCCAAATTTTTCTTAACGAAACCCGCCGATTTCTTACATTTTTCCGTAAATGCAAAACGACGATTGATTTCTATTCTTCTCTACTTTTTTCTATTCGCCTACAACAATTTTACGTACAACTTTGCTGAGGAGACGAAATAGCAGTGAAGATGTACCATGTAACGAAGATGTTTCCAAGTATGCACGTAGCTTTTATGAATCGATAACGAAACACGTATATCTGCAGTCTGCATTATCCGCTAGATACCCTCGGACGCTTTGGCAACCGTAGCGTACAGTACTTTTCGTTTTATTATCTTACGTTAGTATTCGCATATCACAGCACTTGCACATATACATACAAGATCAATGCGTACTAGGTCCATATCTACTTGTACGTGTGTCTGTACTTACATTACTTTCACTCTCGTTTCTCTAATCGAGAAACTAGCGTAGGTACATACATAGATAGGTATATGGTGTATTAAAAGCGTGTTATAGATTGTATACGTACGTATGTAGTATGCGTATAAAGAACGTACCGTCGCGTCGCCGCGCCTCGCATAATTACATAGGTATGTGCTTACTAATGTATCTTTACATAGTCGCTGCACTACTAGTGTAACGATCGTTACTAAAACTTAATGCGTTTACGCTTATTACGAGTTTGTTCATCATTTTGCGTTAGAAATTGATTTCCTTGATGAAACAAAGATACGTGGCACAGCAAATTGCGGATTATCCAATGTTGTAACTATTCATACGTACATCATTCGTCAGATAACTGAGTACTACAAACATTTCAGAAGCGAAATCGCAAGTAGGTTGATACACAGTACTTACACCCCCTCTGAACGTTCATTTACAGAAAAAGTATTATTGAAAGCAAACGGTCCCGAGACATGTCATTTAATGCAAAATTGATAGGTAAGAATCGAAATTATTGGTATGAAATCGCTATTATAGTCGTACGCGGTCTAACTGTTAGACACCGACCGAGCATAACTTCGTTGAATGTCTCGTCTCGTATATATTATATATGTACATTCTGCACCCGGCTATCTTCTCGTTTCATCACTTTCCAGATAAAAATAGATCAAGCAATGTCTATAACTCGAACCATATCCTTTTAACGGCAAGTCACAACTGGCGCTAAATACGTGTTGCCCCAATTGTTCGCGACCCTTAACTTTACGAGAACGAATTTCGGTACCAAATCGAATACATTAGTTCTCATACGAAACAGGAGAGATTTCATAAGTATTGTGCAGTAATATGGTAAGTAAAAGAGAATGGTGAAGATCAAGCATTACAATGCTTATTTCCTCTGAAACTATCGCAGACGTCGACTTGAAATGTTAACGCGATAAGCGAATCGGAAGAAACAACTTCCGAGATTCCTGTCCACAATCCATACGCGATAGAACATAGAACGAAGTAGGAAGATACTCCTTCATATTTCTTAACCCGGTTTTATGGAAGTTCTAAATCAGAGTTTTATTTATCGTCTTGCGACTACGACTGAACAGCTTTGGCTTACTTCGAATATCGGATATCCGTCGAAATCAACCGGTTAGCTAATATAAGATTTTTCCATGTAATACGTAGCACATATATACATGTGTACATCACGTGTATTACTTCGATACGTTACCCGATTTTTATTCGAGACTTGCGTCGTTAATCGTTAACGTTGTATTACAAAGAAATCGATTCGCGCGATTCGAACAACAGATTTATCGTCCAAGTGTTACGACTTGCGCTAGTCTTTTTGCTCCCTCTATTTCATTATCGCATGTACGCGTTTATCTGAAAACAAGACGAATCATGAAATAAGAATAAATGATATGCTTGCTCGAACTCGTTCCGAATAAACTTCGGACATGCATATCGCTGCGCCCCGTCCTGCACCGAATAAAGAGGCGAATCATGTAGACTATGATTTTCATTTCAATCGAAACGTAGCGATTTACCCTCTGACCTAACGTCTATCTGGTACGTATCTATGTACGTACTTTACTACCTTGCATTACTATGTATACAACACAACTACAAGTACACAGCAGTCAAACGAAGAAACCCGATTTCTCGTAATAATACATATTACGTTTTACCAGAAATCCCGATTCGTTATATGTATGTATGTACATATGTAAATACATTGTTAACTTACCGTGTACCATAAGGGCGAAGATTGTTATCGCGAACAAGTTCCTTAGCCACTCGTTGCGCATTTTTCTTCTCGATGGCCAAAGATTTCGAATCGGTCGGGGTGGGATCGTAAATCGCGAACGAGGCCCTTTCGCGGTGATCGCGTAGCTCGATCTCAGCGCATGTCGATCAGCGGAAACGAGCGAAATCGAATACAACGGGCGGACGAATGGAATAAAAGTTTTGCAGGAAACGCGCGTTGCCCTTCGACGAAGTTGAATCGTAAACGCAAACGGTGAACGCGGTCACCCGCGAATGCGAGGGCGAGTGGATCCTCCGGCCGAGTTTCGAATCGGAACACTCGCACCCGCACGGAGAGTAGCAGCTTTCGAAGCGAGAGCGAGAGGCGTATCTTTTGCCGTGACACTCGCGCCAGCGCCTCATTTCCATGTCGTTACATGTTACCACAAGTACGTACGTACGTACGAACGGACGTACAAATACGTAAAACCCACGCACTCACGTTATTCCAATATCGACATCCACGCACACGCGTTATTACCGGTAACGACCGTGTACTTTTCGCACCACGCACTTATGTACCTACGTACACGGGTTTATTCGATTATCCTCGAATTCGAATTATGAATCCAGCGCACGTGAAAACATCGAAGCGGCAAAACTCGTCGTCGATCGATCACCGCACTACCAGTCTCACACCACTACGTACACACCTATGCGTCTAGCTTCATTTTTCTTATCGAACAAAGCCGACGGCGATCGCTTTCATACGATGAACTTCTGACATCGGCGACGTACACACACACGTAGACATGCGGGCGTGCGTACAGCTGCGCGTATATCCAGCGACAATATCGAATGCACACGCGTATGTTCGCGAACACGAATTACGCGTAACATGTAAAAACACAGACAGTGAGTAAGAGAAAACGAAGGGGACGAGAGAGAAACGCAGTGGTACACTGGATATCATTGGATTTCACTGGGTCTACCGAACGTCACGTTCCGTTCCATATACGTGTACACGCGCGTACCTGGTACACTTTCGTTCTTTTTTCCGTTTTGACAAATGGGGTGAGAGGTAGGAAGAGGGTGAAAGAGGAAACCAGGCAACTATTCTAATTCCTTGATCGATCCAGGCTGCGCGTCCTCATTCTCATTGCCACTGATCGAATCGACCATAACTCTAAGCACTAAACTCGCGACGATGCGGCGGCGTCGTCGTTTCGTATTAGGTATCCATTTGTTTCGGCTGCTGCGTGTGTATTAGGGGTTCCTAACGTCTAAAAATTGCCGATTGTACGATTTCGTATCTTCGACCAGCGTTGTTTCTTTGAAAATCGATCGGTGCTTCGCGACCAACCGTCGAGCTGGTACGGGTACGCGTCGTTCCTCGGCGGCTCTTCCTACACCGATCACCTTCTCCTCTTTTCATCGTAGTCGCCTCCATTTTCCATAAAAGCACCGCAGGATTTCGAAATCGCCTCGAGCATCGAAAGACGAGACATCGAAGCGACTACCTACGACCGACACGACAATGTAAAAAGAAAATCAATTGTAGAAAACAACTCCCGACCGAAAACACTTAATCCAGTTTCCGTGACGATCGAATCACAACTGAGGGGATTGTGGGGACTGGGGGTGCAGCAACGGCAGGCAGCAGCAGAGCAGCAACAGCAGCAGCAGCTCCTTCTGGAGCACGATGCCGCTTCGGCTGCATTCGAGTATTCTCGTTCGTTCTCGCTTCTCTCGATCAGCTCTAGTAGTAGACTCTGGTGATGGCTAGACTCTCCAACTCCATCTCGACTCATCGGCATGAACGTCGCGACTTGACCGCCGTGCTATGCCGATTCCATTTCGCGCTCAGGACTTCAGCGTTCAATTAAGAGCCGACGTTTCGCCGTTTATGATGATTTAATGCCGTCATTGTCATTCGTTCGATGTCAGTCGTTTTGTTCCGGTTGGCTCGCTAAACGTTTGATCCTTGTCAAAACTTGCAGCGGAAATGGATACATAAATTCTGAGTATCGTGATTATTTCGAAAACTATGTATATCGAATCGAATATATTTTTACTACATGAAATATGTACGATAAACGTGTCTCAAAATTTAAGGACAACAATTTGTCAGCATTTGAAATCCATCGCCGAGTGAAAACGGTTCTTCGGTTTGCAACAAGTATTGTAAAAGATCGACGAGTATTTGATGACGCGGTCTGTTGAAAAAATCACCTATCGTTTCGTGCAGGTCCATCGAAGGTTGCTTATGCAGCACGTACCTGTACGCACATATAAGGAATAACTTCGTTTTAATCTCGTACATACATTCGTGTGTATGTGTTTTACTTAGTATACGACGTATATAAATATGTATGTGCATACCTAAGTAAAATTGAGATGAACCCTTTGATTTCTGGATGCGCTCCAAGATAAAGTTCATTTTCGTTTCTCTCGATGCCTTTTCTCGAATTTAAACGTCGTATTTGACGCTTATTCAGCGCTCCGATATCGTAATTCAACGTACCGTAAGCTGGGTCCGTTGGATGAAAGGCACGAACATTTTTCGGACGTTGATCCATATAAATTGGACGAGGTATAGGCGGTGTACGATAAGGAAAGTGAGAAAAAAATGCCGATTTATGCGAATAAATTGCGTCGCATTTTCATATTGTCTCCCCTTTTTTGTTAAGTTGTCGGTCGACCAAGTTACATCGTCATATGTTATTTATTGTATACGTATAATTTGTACATAAATGCAAACATTGCAAACTGTTGCAAACTCAACAGATACGTCCGCGAAGGAGTAAATTTTTCTTCGTTGAAAAAATTGCACACACGAAATTAAGAAATAACATAAGTAGAGGAAAGCTTATAGAGCGTTGGTAATCTCTTATATTACACCAATTTCCGCTTTAACGAAGGTACCAATCTCACGGTTATTATTTACGTAGCGACACTTCCGATGTTCACTCATCTGGCGAACACACTTCTCTTTTACTACACTACGTAACGTAGATACAAAGTGATTCCGATACAAAAATCAACGACGCGACTAAAAAATTCAGAGAAATTAAATGTTACGTTATACGGTAAGTAAAATTTCGCGAACAATTAGCACGCTATGCGATGTCACTTTTGACACGTGTATCCATACTTTAACTGATCGACGAAGTACTTATACTTACGTTGCAATGTCAGCAACCACTAACCGGTACGGAGGCACGGATAGCGTGCTGTGCTGCTCTTTCATAGTATAATATGAGCTCTCCATGTACCGTGCACCTGCATCGAAAGAGAAAATCCCCGTTCCTTCGTTACGTATATAAATAAATAAATAAATAAATAAATAAATAAATAAATACATGGACTTTAACGCACAGGCATCAGATTCGCTGCTCTGACGTACCGGTGCTCTCAGGCGCACCTTCGGCGACGCGCTATCACAGTGGACAGGCTCGATGCCGACAGAAATCGAATGAAACGAAGAAACATGTATAAACACATTTGCACACGCAACTTACCCGCTGACCTACGCGGATAAGCAAGTACATGGTTGCGCAGTAGGTATCTAAGTACTTATTAAATCGGATCGTCATAGATGCGATGAAGTTACACGAATTGAAAGTTCGGTGTCACGCGACTCCTTCGACTACTCCTAGAATTACATCTGACCCAGATGAAGGTAAGCGAAACCCACCCCTTGTAATACAGAACGCGATCCATCTCGACGCTCAACACTGCGCGGTTTCGATTTGAACGTTTCGTAAGTAGACCAATGTCGTAATCATAACAATTATTAGTTCATGTCACTCTTGAGTCTCGGTTGATCCATGATCTTGGTAGCAACTCATAATTGCAATGTATGCATTACGTTTATGTTCGTATAGCTACTGCCTACTTTATACGTGTATGTACAAATATACATATCGCGTTTCTTCGACTATTCGATCTTGGCATAATCAGGACAACGCACAGGCGGATTGTTCCAGGTCCTAGTACAATAGAACTCGTATGCAAAAAGCAAAAAACTAATCGAAAACAAACGATAATAATATTTTTCCATTTGGGAATTCGCTTTTTCGTTCAAGAAATATTGAAACGAATCGGATGCAAAGAAGGGAGTATTTAGAGGAATGCCCGGTTCGTAATATGTACTTGTGTACACAGTCCTAATTTGCACCTTCGTATCATATACAATTTTATGTGTATAATATCAGAATATAAACGTACGTAGAAAAATATGCATACAACCAGTGCAAATAAAAATATGTAAGATACGGAACGCGAGTCGGATGTCCGCGCGCGAGTGGGGTGTTGTCTCGCTTCGAAAGAAAAGCCGAGGGCGGGGTCAACTCGTTGCAAACGGTATAAAATCATCGCTACTGAAAAGGAACAGCATCCAGTCGTTAGCTAAGATATCGGAACGTTATCTAGTACCATTGTACATCATGAATTATAAAGTAATTGTTGATCACTACGATATGAAATCCGTACACGCGCATCATAATTATTTATATAAGTGTATTTTTTATCTCCCCCTTTCCGACAGATTATCGGATGCCTGGTCACCTTCCTGGCTGTTGCTCGAGCAGGAATAATCGGTCCTGGTGCAGCCGCAGTAGCAACGACGGCAGGTCTTCCATCGACGATCGTCAGAGCCGAAAATTATGATCCGAATCCTCAGTACAGTTTCAGTTACAGCGTAGCCGACAGTCTTACAGGTATGTACGTACGAGTACATTTTCTTTTTATCGTTACCCAGAGTCGTATCCCAGATACGAAACCAATTCGATTCATCGAAATAATTGTTACGTATCGCTACTTTCCATACATATGCGCAAAGGTGACAACAAAGCGCAAGAGGAAACACGTAACGGAGACGTAGTCCAAGGCAGTTACAGTCTGATAGAACCGGATGGTTCGCGTCGGCTAGTTTCGTACGCCGCGGATCCCATAAACGGCTTCAACGCAGTCGTTCAGAAGGATCCTAGCATCACTGTGAAGACCGCGGTCGCAGCGGCACCGGTCGCGAGACCCGTCGCGCTCGCACGACCATCGGTACTCGCGGCTGCCCCTTCATCTGCGCTTGCTCTACGATCACAGGTTCGTTCCGACTTTACTTGTGATATTCCAGTCCGTTCTTGCCTGTCAATTTCACTCATCCGCAAAGTACCTCGCGTGAACGTTTACAATTTTTCATTCGTGTCTTTCAGGCTGCACTGTTAGGACAACAGATTTTGGCAGGGCCAACGGTAACTGCGTCAAACCTCCTCACCGCGGGTCTAGGTTTAGGCTTTGCACCTGGCTCTCTCTACGGTACGCAAGCATTGCTCGCGGGTGCTTACGGTGCCGGAGGCATCGTTAAGGTCCATTAAACGCTGCACCGCAGGGATTCAACTCGGCACGATTCGATTCTATTCCATACCATTCCATTCTATATTCTGTTCTATTCTATTCGAATTGTCCCAATTCAACTCGACCGGCACTACTTCCGATCCCCTTCCATTTTTTGACCAACTTCGCTTTGCTTTCCTCCAATCGAATTTACCTACCGTAGCGTCTGGAAATTATACTTATGCACGTATCTAATAATTATGTACGAATATAAATACACATACACGCGTATGTACCTATGCCTATATATGTATATCCGTGATCTATGACAGTATGCTGCTAACGATTTCAACATATTTCATCGTCGACAATCTAATGTAATTTTTAGATTTGGAGTATCCTTGTCAGCTCGTCATTCGTTATTGTATAATAATGATAGTACAATATATTATACATATTCCATATTATTTCCTTTCATTCCATTAAGTCGTTCGATTGCGTGTTTCAAAGTATATATCGGTCAAGCCGTTAAGCAAACGCTTTGTTCTCGATTCGAATTAGACGATTGTAGTTCGAATCGGAAAGAGAACAATGTGGACAGCATTTCACTGTTCTGGTCACGGAACATAATCGGTTAAACGCGGCGGGATCTGGATTAGTATTCTTTTCGAAACATGCATACTCCTCTAAAAATATTAACGGAAGAACGATGGACGAATAGAACGTTAGTAATATGTATTTATGTATACTCGTAATCAAAAAGTTGTAGCGACTGTTGTTTATTCTCAACGTACATCGCGATTACAGATTATCACGTACATATTATAAATGTATTTATATTTTGCTCTCATAAATTAGAATGGAAATTAAAAATGAAAGACTAAAAGCAAAGTTGCTATTGTATTATTTACATGTTGCAAAAATGGTAGATGAATGATAAGAGCACCACACTTTGCAACTCGTTCGTTAGAAATGTCTGAGTATAGAAGTACGCAAAACGCAGTTCGAAAGTATTTCAATATCCGTATTTTTCGTTCAGACTCGTTTTTCCATCTCCCGCTTGATCTTCTGGTGGCACCCACGTGGAATAATTATCCGCGTATGCGTCTTGATCGCAATGTATCTCTTGTTCCTTTCGACGAGGCTTTTTCGTTATTCGAACTGAATGCTCTTGTCGCCTTCCAATTTCTTCCATGCGTTCACTATTACTAGAGCTTTTTGGAGCAACGCTCGCCGCTGCATCGGATCGTGCTTTACTCGACGAAGCGTGCGACGAATCGGTCGAAGTCGACTGGTCGTCGTCATCACTGTTGTCCACTTCTTCCATCGATTCCGCTTTCGTTATTTCATCACTAACAGCACTTGATGCAACAACCTTCGTTTCGCTACTTCTATCTGCATCACGATTCGTTTCTTTCTTGTGCATGATCTATAATACATATAAAGAAAACAATGTACGATGGTTACACACGCATGCACGTTATTTCGATTTTATTATAGAAGGCTGAAAGGAAAACTTGCTCACGTTTCGACGATGAAACAAAGATGACTGAGATCCGTTCTTTTCGGATGATGCCCCTTGAGCGACGACCACCGTTGATTTGGCCTCGCTTGTTTCCGTTTCGTCTTTCTCGTGTGCGGAGAGAGGCAGCGGCGGTAAATTTGCTGGACGCGTCAAGTTCAATAACTTTATCAAACTTGCCTCTTCTTTTCGAAGAGTTTGTAATTCGAGCTTTATTTTGGCAACATCGTCTTTGGACAGGAGGGACGAACTCGAACTCAAGTTCGACATGAAAGCATCCAAAGCATCCTCCTCGGTACTTTCGTTTTCGCTATTCGTTAATTTACGTTGCCAATTTTCAAGCGAATTCGACAACTCCGATATTCGTTTCGCGACTAGTTCATGCTTCTCGAGCTAAAAAGTAACACGTTTAATAAAATTACCTAACACTATCGATACGTGGAACATCGTGTCGAACTTACCAACGAATCGTACGTCTCTGCTTTCTCTTCCAATCGTCCAGCTAATTTCATTCTTTGTGTCCGTTTCTTTTCTATCGAACCCGTTCTGTCCAAAAAATTGTCTTCGTCCGAGTCGTAATAATCTTCAGCCTCCCAATTTCTAGTCTTCCTTTTTCTCGCTTCTGTTATGAGAATCATAAAACGATAGATCTGATTCGTTGACGATCACCATAGCACTACTACTGGTACTACTTCTACCACGTACCCAACAAACTCAGTGAAAAAAAATTCTTACCATGATTTGCTTGCCTCAACAGTCCGTGTTTATCCAAAATTTTACAAGCTTCCAACGCACATTGTACAACCGCTTCTTTCTTCTTACCTTTTACGAGGGCCTCCGCTCTGAGGGAATGACCGATGACATCCTCCATAGGAAGGCTAGTGTTTTTATAACATATAACAAATAAATTATTTCGTTCCGCTCGTATAGATACAGATGTACCCGAAATGATAGAAAATATAAACACGATAAGTAGGCTACACTTACTCTACCCAGCAGAGAAATTGGCCAAGTCCTTTCTCTTCCGTTTGATAACGAAGATCATATCCCTCTCTTTCGAACCATCCTCTCAACGTTTTTTTCGGATCTTCCAACACCAAATCTTCATCCGTGATACAAGCATAAGGATTCTCTTGTAAATCCGTTTCCTCATCCGCATCCTCGCCCATTCCCCAATCGATGCCTTCGCTTTCCTCCTCTTCGACCGGTCGATATTCTCCGGTACGTGCTTTTTGTATACGCTTTTCCAATTCGGATGCTCTCATTTCCTGAAACATTTGACGGTTTTATCCTCACCTCAGAGTAAGCCACGTTTCGCTTTCATAATTGGAAGAGAATGTAAGAAAAGACGGTGTGTACCTTCAACTGCGTCACACTGTACGGAGACTCTTCCTCTTGATCCTCTTGTGGTGCTTGTAAAATATACTTTCTTTGACTGCAACCAAATCCGAGCATATGGCCTCCTCGTAATCTCACGTAGATCTTAGGTTTTATGCGGTTGCCATTCCAGTAAGTACCATGAGTACTCCCTAAGTCATAAATGTAGAAACCTTTCGAATGTCCCTCGTCTTCTTCCGATGCTTTCGCTCTGTATTGCAGAATTGCATGATATCTCGAAATAGTAGGATGAGCGAGAGACAAGTGACAGGAGGGTAAGCGTCCGACGACGTAAAAACTGTGTTCAACCAGCGAAATCGTTTCGATAATAACTCCAGACTTGAGTATTTCCATTTTATAATCTACTGTCGGCTTTCCTCCCCATGACGGTTCTACGTAAGACAAAGGTACGTGCTGCGAACTATCCGGACATTGGTCCTTATTTACGGACGAACATGATGCACACGATGCATCTGATATCTTCGAAGCTTTGCACTCCGACCGAATTCGTTTCGAACCAACCGAAACAGGCTTCTTGAATGTCGCTGTATTGTCGGTCCCATCAACAAGATCGTTCGTGCAGTGTTCCGCACCGTTTCCCGGCGCGACATAACTAAGGTTACGAGTTTCATTGTGAATCGTACTTTCTATTTTACTTTCATTTTCATCATTCCTAAGACCATCGTTTGCCGGTAGCTCGCTCTTTTCGAATTCTCGTACAAATTCCTCCGAGTGTATTTCCATTGCGGTTTGTAAAAAAACAGAACAGGAATTGGTACGATTTCAACAATAACAACTCGGAGACTTCGAAACAAATGTTGAAAATTTCTTTTTCACAACCCGAGTCGTACGATAACAAATCGAACGCAACAAGATTTATGAAAATCGTTTCGGTAGTTAGTTGTCAAGAAATTCATGGATAAACAAACGTATAATAGTTGTTTCCGCGCACTTTCATTGTAATCGCAATAACGAACATAACGTTTTACGACGCTCACTGACACTGACGCGCACGACGCACACGAGTACAACTACTACGACTACTACCAGTGTTGGGCTGACTACTACACTATCGCATTCTCGAAGACGGTTCTTTTCAGGACCACCAAAACGGCAGCACCTACTGGACGCCACCGAGGAGAAATTACTTTTTGATGCCCTCTCTCCAATATATTTGCCACTCAAGTAAGAAATAGAAAGCAAACAAAAGCAAACCACTATCCTGTAAAGTATGTACGAGTTTTGAATACAACTTTTAGCTAGCTATGTAAGTTAATGGTGTCAGGCAGATTGAATGAATGGACGAATAATGTTAAAAGATTTGTTTCAACTTTATTAAAATATCATTTTTCTTTTAACAAAAAAGCATGTCGCGTTAATGAAAAATGCACGATCACAATTTTCCGAGATCTAAATAAAATAGACAACGCAAACATGTAACAACTATACGTGTAAGTACTCGAGTATGCAATATACATACGTATAAAAAACGTAGAGTACATACCGGTGATCCCGAATAGGTCGAATCAACGCGATTCGACTTGCGTTCGGCATCATTTCCATGAACAAGAATTTCAGTTTAGGTGGAAAAATAACATAAACGAAACGCAATCAAATATATGTATACGTACTTAACTACATGTATATGTATATTGTATATGCGGCAATGTGTAAGGCGTAACGCTTAATACATAAGTACATAAATACCATTTAACAATTTGGGTTTAACGTCGAGCGTAAAAAATGTTCTATTTCAACCACGAATATAATTGTTAAAATACGATTCAGGTACAAGAAAAGTAATAAGATACTTGACGAACAGAGACATTTGACTCAATATCTACATATATACGTACATGTCGTACGCTCAGGGACACCTGCACTTTATACTGTTACCGTTAATTAACTTTAAACTTTACTACTTTCCCACATATGCATATACATATACATTTATGGCATGAATGTATACACGTATGTATGTGCGTCATGCGTGTACGACGTATGAATATATGTACAACGTAAGTACGTTCTAAGTTTAATTGTAAACGGTAGAAATAACCGATGTTTTCAACTCCCAAAACTAAACTCGGGTCAAAACTAATCGGTAATCTAAATTGCAAATGAAGCAGCTTTTCCCTGAAGAATCGACGATCCACGGTGTCGAGACAATTTCGACTGTCGGACACACGTTTCTTATCCTCTAGATCACATTTATGATTTGTGTAAGGCAAAGCTGTCCACAGGGCGCGAGTCTTCGTCGTCTACTCGTATTCACTCTCATAGCTCCTCGCAATTACGGAGGCAAGGCACTTGCTATCGTGCTATAAAAAGCTAAAAGAAGATGAAATATTTTCGTTAGAAACGAAACGAGTTAATCTGTCGATCTGTCAAAACTGTCTCGAAACTCGGGTGGATTACTTTTTCGGACAGCTTTGTCGTAAAGACGAAAGGCATTCCTCTATCCATCTGGTTCATCTTATCTCTCATTGTTCGCCTCTTTTGCTCTCCTTTGTACTTCCTCTTTTGTCCTGCCGTCTCGTGTCTTCGTCCTCTCTGTCTAACGCAGCCGTGTCTTTCATTCCTCTTTCATCTATCTTCTGTTCTTTTGCATGCCACTAGCGTAGCAATAATCCATTCAACCTCTTCTACACGTTTTCCTATTTCGTCTTCTTCTCTTTCTTCTCGATATGCGTCAGTTTTGATAAAGGAATGATACGGTTAATTAGACGTCATCTCGCATTTTGTACCCCTTTCAGGGAAGTTAGTTACAAGCGCATGAGACATCTGGCACGAGTAACGACAGGCAAATTTGAAATTGTCTTCGTGTCGCAGAAGGGGCATTCTACGATTTCATAACGGGATCGCGCACTTGTCCTTCTCAATCCACCACCGTTATCTTTTTTTCGGTATCGTCGTTGTTCGTCATAGATCCGGACACGGTCATCTTTTCCTTTAAATACTGGTAATTCTTAAATCTTGAAACCGCGTAATCCTGCACAACGATACAAACGAGAGAGACGATGAATCAGTGATTAGTGGCAGTAGATACGCGTACAATAATAAGAGAGGCAGGCGGACACGGCGGGCGCAACGGCCTTCCCTGCTTACCCAATATCCGAAAGGTATTTGCGATAGTTTGGCGTTCACGATACTCCAAAGACCCCAGAACAAATGGCTCGCTAAAGAAAATATCTTGATTTCCATCATGATTCGTTCCTCTTCCAATGGTCCTTCTTTCCCGACTGTCCTCAAGTAGCTCCTTACGAAGTCGAGCTGTCGAAACGGATGGTAGCGTTAAAAGTAAAGCGCGTAAGACGCGATTCGTTAAAAATCGGAAGTAATAATTAAAAGAAACTAAAAAGATCAGCAATAATTAAAAGATAAACACTATACGTATATCGCATATGTATCATACGATAGGATATAATATATACTGCACAATGGACGAATGTGCTGATACAAGACTATAATACCGTGAGTAAATACGCGAGGAATACGAAACGTTGACGGGCTCGATCTGTACACTCTAAAATTGTAGAAATTTAAAAAAATAATTCATCGGAAAGTGTCGATTTTCGTAATCGTAAATTATGTTAATCATATGATAGAGTATCGAGAATGAATTGCGTAAGATCGTATTTAGTTTACCCGGTTCAAAGAATCAACTACTTGTATATTGTAATCGGGTCGAGCATGCGTTGTTCACTTCGCGCAGGGATATGTACGAATGTTCTGTATGACCGTGCAATAACAATAACATGATGATACGATAAGTAAACTTGTCATTTACTCGTCGTATTATCGTGTCGGTTATTCTGTAAGCAGCCGCTATGGAAAGCGTCTTAATTGGAAATAACGCGATGATTTTACCACCTACGAGACACTGTACATTTATCGTGTAACGTAGAGTAGATTATGGATCGACTATCGAGAGTGCGTGTAGAGGTAGTACTCTAGAGTCGTAGATGCGCAGGTACACGGGACTGATGTCGCAAAGGTGGGTGATGGCACCGGTCGTTCTGGTCCGTCACGTTCCACAACGTACGGTGTAAGGTGCAACGCACAGACGGTCCATAGCACTGGCAGATTGCCGCCCGTAAGGTATTCCATTAGGATTCGAGCCGATCGCGGGCATCGCAGTCTCGTCTCGCTTTCAAGCCTCTACCGAATCGTGGTCCTGTGAAACTAATATATACACACGCAGCACACGCCAAGCTGTCCTCGATCTGCTCTCGATATCTCTCGAATTCGCTCGACCGAGTAGACGCATACTTTACGTTTCTCTAGAATAGATCTAGACGTACACGTACGTTTACGTTTACGTATGTACGCGTGTAATAAGCACGTATTTATTTATGAATGTATATGTGTTTATACGTGTCGATATGTCCGTACATGGATACTTGAACTTGTACTACATACGTACATACGTACTACGTACGTACTCGTTAACATACGTAATACAATTGTACGATACGTACGCGGCTTACGTTCCGTTCATCGCGCGCAGTCGAACTTGGTCTTGCGCTTCGTCTATCTTTACCTTTAGGTAAACGGTGCACTTACACCCTCCGAGAGACTGCCACTGGGAATAATGGAGGAAAAAAAGAAAAGGAGACGAATAAACGCAGAGGGTACAAAGGGGGACAGAGAAAAAGAGAGGTTCACAAGAAGAGCAGCCCGATATCGTTTCCGTCGTACATGCGATACGCATGAATTAAAATTTTCTCGTCGCGTCGCGTATACTCTCTAATGTACTACACCTATTTTACGTTTCGACTAGGTCCTTTCTGTTGTATTCGTATACTTCGGAAACCGTCGATCTGTTTCACAGCATTACACGTCGTTTATCGTCTAGATTTCCTGTACTAGCGTGTGGTGCATATGTAATTAGCGATTGTTTGCCCATAGAGTTCCAACGACTACCGCGCAAAGTGAGAAAGAAAAACGCATTACGTACGACTAAACTAGAACAGAATCCGAGATCCGAATCAATAATCGATTTTCTGTGACGCGACGCGACAGAACGAACGGCGCGCAAGACAAGTCGGACGACGAGATGGAAAAAATGAGTGAACGAAACGCGCGAGACGATCGCACCGTTGTCAAATTTCGAGTAACATGTAGTTTGATTGGACGGTACGACGATGCGTGTATACGTGGATTCGTTATTCCGCGATTTACCTTTTGTTCATTCGTTGGACCGGAACCCGGGCGTTCGTGGAAGAATGGATATTCGGCCGCTGTGTAATCGTACTGCCATTCGACGAAATGGTTAGCTATGTCGAATCCCCGGTAATTGTACGAACAGTATTCAAAGTCGATGAGCACCAGTTCCGGTTTTCGGGTGTTCTGTCGCAGCAATATATTACCCTCTTGCATATCGTTGTGACAAAATACGACCGGATACTTGTGTCGCGCCACGAGCGATCTTGAAATAAACGCGACGACTGATTATAATTTAGGTTTAGTAACAGGTTCGATTAATAGTCGCACCGATTCTCGCTTGAAGAAACGTATTATGTATAGCGTACACTCGACGATAACGACGTCGCGGCGCATCATCCTCACCTGAACCACTCGATCTCGCGATCTAGATCAATCGTCTGTATAACGTGGACATTTTTTAAGTTCCGGGCATCGATATCTTCGATGTTCTCGAGAATATCCGTGGCCGTGTCCAGCCACTTGGTCATGGTATCCCATAGCCAAGTTGGTTCCTTGCTTATGGGTACTTGCATCCTGTGAATTTGAGCCATCTTCTCAGCGATCATCGAGCTCAACGTCGGGTCCGCCAATTCGCTGGTGAGCAATGGTCTTGCGGGTATATATTCTTCTATTCGACCGCCGGGGAATATGCCGTGCAATTTGGGCCCAAGCCTCCTTTCCGACAGCAAGGTGAAGATAACAGACTCGGTAATCAGTCCTTCCAAAGCTCTTTCTCCGTGTATTTGCCCGTATAATCGTAACAGAACCTGGCGAGGTTCACCTCTCATCGGCGCTGTTCCATCCGGCAGTTGTACGTTGTACAGCCAGTTGCTCAATCCGCCGCTGAATCACGAAAACCGAGATACGAACGGTTTCAAGTTTAAACCCGTACTTAAGTACTGAATAAGTTTGATTCGCGTTCGGTAGTTTCGTCAGAACACCACCGCTGAACAGGCTCGATCACTCACCTGATCCGCTTCAGCATGATATTTTCCGCGGTGACGTGTTTCCAAACTCCGTGAAGGTAATCGCGACATATACGAGCTGCCATTTCTCGCATCTCTGGGTTCTCTTCGGACATCTGACGAAGAAAACGGGAAAAACGAGATAGATGTAAATTTTTTCTAGTTAGGCGAGTATACAAAAGTAGCGTATTAGGTGCATAGGAGAAGGACGTATATCAGGTTCAGGTAAACGGTTAGTAACGAACGGAGGATAAGCGTGTCTATTTCTGGAATTCGATTAAAAACTACAAACTTTAAACTTCAAAATCGTAAACATGTGCGCGTTATTCCGATCGATCGGATGTGTATGGAGAAACCTAAGTACATTCGTACACAGCTTTTAACACGCGCAAACCTAACATCCGCCACCGGTCGCGGTCTTTTCTTTTCTTTTTTAATTCTCGCTTCAAGCTAATTGTAAGAATAACAGATCGATTGATACGTCTACGTATTAGTCCATACATCAGTAAAAGATCACACGAATTAATTTTACCGTACCCACGGTACGAAAATCGCCCCCTTTCTCCTTTTTTTTCGTCTCTGCTCGATGCTAATCGATTTAGCCTTGGCCTTGGCTGTGGCCTTGACTTTGGTCGAATTCTCGTAAACCCACGAGGCAACAACGAAGGTAAATGCGAAGACGAAGACGACAATTCGCAAACGATAGAACGTGTACGTGAACACAGACGCGATACACGCGTTTCGAACTCCAAAGGCGTCGAAATCGAGAAAGCGGCAACGCGACGTGGAGTTACTCTACCACTCTACTTTGGGTAACCGGCGACGTTTCCCAGACCACGCCTGGTCGCAAAGCAACGCGCCAACACTCTTGCGCGAAAATAACGATCGATATTTCGTCCTGCGTATAACTAACGACCATGCATTCCAGGCATGTGCGTACATACCCTTATACAGTACAGTGTTGAGCGTAGGAAGTGTGAAAAAATTGGGTGAAGTTCGATCAAAATTGTTTTCCACATGATTCGACATTAGCAACATTCAGTTGAACCCGAAGCACACCTCTTACAATCATAGGGAATACTAGGGAAACACAGCAACTCGTAAAACAGCGGGGTTCTTATTCATCACACCCTTAACAGAAGAGGTCATGATGACACGCTGTAAAGCCAATAATGTACGAATATAATTTCCAGCTGTTTTGGCCAGCTACCATTGGAAAGCTGGAAAATACATCTGTACGTTACCACGGGTACGGTTTTATAGAGTCCCATTACGACCCCCTTTGTTAAAGGTCTGAAGGGCAACAGCCGCACTTTTTTATGAAAGTTGCTATATCTTTCCCAGTTATTATACTACCGTAACATAAATTTTTACATTTCAATTGTAAACTACGCCAATTTTTATCGTGAAAGAGACTTATCTTGTTCAATTTTGAACTTAAAGATAATATCAACACCAAACGCGGCTAATATTTGCTGTAACTTTCCTTTCTTATATATACAAAGATATCTACGTATGTTTCAATTAAAGACAACATCGTCTGTGAAAACTTTTTTGCATTCCTCAATACGTAATGATCCATTATCTCGAGTCGCATCGGAATCGTTATTTTCATTTCCTACTCTTATATCGAGCGAAGGAAATTCCACCGTCGCCGTCGATTCTGATTTCAACGTTATCATAGGTATCTATATGTGTACGATTTCATCGTATCCGATCTCGAGTGTCTACGTAAACTACGTTTTGAAATCGTGTACAAACATAAAGTGTTAATCGGTAGTTTCCTGTACTTATATAATTGTTAAATGCTAGCTTTAGTTCTTAAGACGAGATCATTTCATGATAAAAGGAATTACATACAGGGTTCGTTAATGACAATTAGAACACGGCGCAACTCTGATAATGTTATAATTCTGTCAGAGTTACAATTAGCTCCGGCTTAAGCTTTGACTGTGTATCGTGTCGAAAAGTCGCCGACTATCTACGTACATTGAGCAAAAGTTTATGTGCACAAGAATGCGGTAAGAAGATACTTGTCCACTTATCGTTAAGTACGTGGATAATACAATCTACGTTCTACCCACTGTACTGGGACAATTTATGTCGCGTTTCGATATCGCAGCTGTCGTGCTTAATATGACTATTGCAACGCTCTCCTATATACATACATATGATAAAACGACGAAGATTATCCTAAAGCGTGTGAACGAGAAGTAGACAACTGTAACGTCGAGCTATCGTTGAAAAAGATCTGTGCATGAACAGTGTATAAATAATAAATGCACAAGTATATATTTGGATATGAGTCGAGGCTCTTACGAAACGAGCAACATTGATTGAAGATCGAAAATCTAAAAATCTAAACTCGTGTTCGACGCTTTGCGCGTTTGTATGTGTCTATGTACGTAGTACTGTGTACTATTGTGTACATACTGTACGTCATTCGTACTTTACAAAGATGATTCACAAACACGAGTGATCAGCGCATTGCGGAAAAACAAGGCGTTTACAAATTGTTCGGGTATTTCTGTGTGAATTTAATACGATTCAACGATGCATTTTGCACAGTTGCAAATAGTAGTATTTTCTACGTACGTTGATGTTCGCTCTAATTTAGATTTAGATACGTACGCGCTCGCGCGTTGAGCAATGATAGCGCGAACGACTGATATCTGCACTTTATTCTGATTATCTAAATATTTCCTATTTATTTTGCATTTTCGAAGAAATCAAGAAAATATTTACTCACGCGAATTAAAAACATTAACCAGGAAATGACTAAAGTGCGCGCATAACTTTTCGACAAATCGAACGGATCAATGAACGGAATGAGAATTTCAAAGGGCGTATAGCGAATTGTAAAGCGATGAATATGTGTGCAACAATCTCTGATAGCTACGGTATTTACATAAGATAAAATTAAAGATCGATCATAGGGAAGAACTACGTATGTATGTATACGTGCTTCTTTAAGTAATTAAAAATAAGTATTAAACGCCATTATCGTGTAAAACGTATGCTCACCTTGTTTGCCAGGCCCATCGTTACAAATTATTGGTTCAGCAGCGTACTTCGAATGTTAGAATTTCTAGTTTTCGGGAATGCCTGTGTACAGGTAGACCGAGATGCTTGATTAACTTCGATTCTCGACGGTTCGTGCGAATAAAAAATCTGATCGAAGCTTGAATCGATTCGCAAGAAATTGTAGAATCGCTTCCGTTCGGATATACTCGTTTGTACAAAAGGATAAAAAAAGACTGCGTTTGGAAGATACGAGTTTTTCTATACGTCCTCGTAGTAAATAGCGAGGAGCGATGCACTGGGCGTGCGTTCGATCTGCGATTCGTGATACGAGCGGCGAGCAGCACTGCTTTATGTTCGATTTCGAAGGCTGATTCTTCGTTTCCCTCTCCCTCGTCGCGCCACAAGGTATCGCATATAGCGTATAGAAATTTCCGTTGCACTTTCCGAAAGGAAAGGAATTAAAAGAAAAATTGTAATTGATATAGATGGGCGACGATTCCTACAACGACGATGCACAATGTCCTCGATGTTCACTGATGTGATAACATTAACAGCAGTAACAATATACGGGCGTTGCACAGTAGTCGTAGTCACAAATTTTCGACGTAATCGCAGTAAATTACTTTTGCGGGCTTCCTATTTTCAACAATGCTTCTCCCACGAGATCTTCTTTCCGAATAGAGTGGAAGCGGAACGCAACGGATGATTAGAGTCGAGCAGATCGTAAGTATTCTTATGTAGAATCTACATAAATATACGACAATACGACACGGATTCGAGGAAAAACGTATAGCACGTAATATACATGGCCAATGGACGTCCAAGTTTCTCCCTACTCCCTACTTCCTTCGAGGAACTCGAAGAAACAGTTTCAAACCCGACACGAACGCCACTACGTGGTGCGATGTGAAATTGCGCGATTCTTCCCGCTTTTTCTACTATCGTATGTACAAGAATACGAGAATAACATAACTATATATCTAATTTATCTACGTTCCGCATTTGCGCTATACTCCTGTGTACCTGTTCGTCATTATTGCGAATACGTTTGTTTAAACTAGAGTTTAGAAGTTTAATGAGAATAACCCTTTGTGTTCCTTTCTCTACGCTTTGTTAAGAGTACGAAACTAGAGTATACTATGTACAATGGTATCTAAACATATTACGTAAATATACAAAAGCTCGTATAGGTAATTAGCAGATATAAAAATACTTTAAAATGAACCTTGGTAAATTTGTTTAGAGGAAAATTATTGTACGAGTACAACCTAAGTATCGATAAGGAAAAGATCCGCATCTTTGCTAATTTCCAAGAAACCAATCGGGCAGAATTAAATCATCGACGCTACAATTATAGCTACTCGTTGTTCTCCATCGCAGACGATGCGATTGTATTATAAGCAAACATAGAGAAACAGAAGCACATATTACGGTTATCTTAAACTTTAAACAGCTTTTTAACGAGGTCAACAAAAACGAACCATACGATAACGCTCGTTGCTCATTCCTTCTCGATAAGTACAATTGTACATACGTATACGAAACAGCGAATATATTAATAATTAACGTTAGGAAAAATAATGAAAAAGAGATGTTAAATATGGGGTACCGTGTATAAAAGATGGAATAAAATAAAACATAAGACGAAGCAAAGCAAAAAATCCGAATGAAAACCGAAATATCTACATTATACGCAGATATGCTAATACACTATCGCGTTGGTCGGCTTTTACAGATTTGCACATTCTTTCATTCCTTTACCTCACAGTTGCAATTCGCATTGCGGTTATTCACGTTCACATCCATTCTACGATTCTACACGTTCGTAAAATGTATCCTCGATCTTCGCCGCGTAAATATTATTCGCTCTACCAAGTTCTTGCAGTTTTCTTATTATCTGGGTAAGAATTTTCTGTTCAATCTTTCACGAAGAAATGTAAAGGAATGGATGCGAGGTCTTACTATAAAAGAGTTTGGATGATGTATGAGCTGATTGTAAACAATCTGGACTAGCGATACATTTGGAATAATGAAACTTATCGATACGATAGTTCCAGCTGGTGTCTTTCAGTGGTCAGTTACGCGAGATTCAATCTGTTCCATAATCGCGAATAATTATCTACGATAAAACGATAGGCGATAGCCGATAGACGGTATAAAAACATAGGTGCGCGTAATCAAACGTAACGTTCTTATAGTCTTCGGCGGTTTGTAGCCAAGCAAGTAAGTGCAGTTAGATTTATTTATTTCGAGCTTGTTGGCATGCGTTTAACAAAGGTCTGGTATGACCTATGAAAGTAGTACCTTCATTGAAGACATGTATATTAATAAAAATACATGATCGCCTTTCTATCGAAAAAAGAAGCAACGAACGTTGACTCGATTCTCGCGAGTTTCGTTTTGTACATCCGTGATTCAAGACGTTGCAAGACGTCTTTTATCGTATAGGAATAAGAATGCCACGGTCGCTCACTGAAAATACAAACTGTGCCTCTGAATTCTAAAATTTGACGAGGATCAGGATTTAGTTACATAAATCGAAACGTCGTTTAATTAACGAGGGTGCGGGTGTGAGATCCTCGGAGGCGCAAAATTTTATCTAGCGAGTTCGTCCGGGATTTCCGAGGACGGTATTTCTTTGGATGTTCAGGAACATCCAATCCCTGCTACACAGGTCGCATTTGTAGCATTCCGATTTCGTATTCAACTAGTTGATCAACAACGTTAACGTAAATTAACGCTCGTTCCCCATCGCATTCCCCTTCGTGGGCGCTGTTTCGAAGCACAACGCCCTCGTTTTCTTCCGTACACGTACACTGATACGATCATCGCGAGACACGCTTAAGTAGCTAGTAGAAACCACCAATTTTACACTGGTGTGCGTATGATAACTGATAACGTATACGTATGTATAGCATCACATTTATACGTTCAATTAAGTTATACGCGCGACTACATTGGATGGTCACGGGAACAAGAACGGGGTTTGGGGCGGGAAATGATTGGCTTCGTGGAACTTTCCGCCCCATTGAGAATCTTTCACATTTAGTTTCTCGCACGCTGAACTTGGTGTCGGTTAGGTGCATCATGGATACGTCCTGTGGAAAAGGATCGATAACGGTCACGAAATGGGGATCTATTGACTGTCGAAACATAGATAAGTATACGTTGAAGAACGAACTCGATCAAGAGGTGGACATTATAACGTACGGTGCAACAATAACGTCGATCAGGACACCGGATAAGGAAGGAAATATAGCGGACGTCGTTCTAGGCTTCGATGATATTTCAGGTACTTGACTGTGACTATTTTGCGGAAACCCCGTGCGATACGGGACGAATACGAGCTGCCGTTTTCGTTTCGTTTCTTCCATTCCGTTTGCTTGCAGGATACGCGACCACCCCTGACCGTAATCCGTATTTTGGCGCGACTGTAGGACGAGTCGCGAACCGCATAAAGAGTGGTCAATTCTCCTTGCATGGGAAAACGTACATGCTTTCCAAGAATGCAGGTAAAAACACCCTTCACGGTGGTACCAAAGGTTGGAGCTGGAAAGTATGGAACGCGAGTATTCAAAAAGATCGTCTCGTCCTCACTTTGCTGAGCGAGGACGGAGACGAAGGGTTTCCCGGAGCAGTCGTAGCCTCGACTACTTTTCAGTTAAGCAGTGACGGAGAATTACGAATCAAAATGAAAGCTTACACTACCAAAGCTACGCCTATCAACTTAACTAATCACAGTTACTTCAATTTGGCTGGCCATGTTCGTATATTGATGTTAACAACTTACATCGCGTGGTACTCACGACATTTGCAAGTGTATCTGCTTGAAAAATCGATCCTTTCGTCGAATCGATGATTCGCGCTCATTAGGTATTTAAATGCATATAATTTTAGAATGGGAGCGCGACCGCTTTATATGAACACCTATTTACGTTGAACGCGGATCGCTGGACCGTCACCGATGAAGATAATATTCCTACCGGGGAAATCCAGTCGGTGAGCGGTAGCCCAATGGATTTGACGAAACCCACGAAACTCGGAAATGTGATTGAGAAAATACCGGGTGGTGGTTTCGACTACAATTTTTGCGTGAAGATGCCCGCCGACTCGTGTAAGGATGCCCCGAACGAAAGAAACCTCGTCGCCAAAGTTGTGCATCCTCCTTCTGGACGATGTTTGGAGGTCTTCTCCGATCAACCTGGAGTACAATTTTACACGGGCAATTTTCTCCCTAAGCCCGATAGCGATGGTATTAAGGGAAAGTGTGGGACCAAATATTTCAGACACGGTGCGTTCTGCTTAGAGACGCAAAATTATCCAGACGCGATTAATCAGGTAAGCGATTTATTCGTACGCTTCTCTGTAAACTTTTTTCCTCCTAATTTTGAACTAATTTCGTTGCTTATATTTGTAGAAAGATTTTCCTGATAGCGTGATCGAACCCGGAAAATTGTATCGGCATAGCGTTATATATAAGTTTGGCGTTGCCACTTAAGCAACGTGTACCTACCTGTCGTACGTGGAACGTACGTAATTTGGATTTTGTTCTCGATTATCGAATACGAAATGCATTACGATAAGTCGATAACGTTTAAGTACGTACATACGTCGATTCGAAACTACTACGGCTAAGCGGCGTACATTGCAATTGTATGTATCGCTGTTTCCTGTCTATCTCTATTTTCAAAATAAATTTCTTTTGTCATTCCATATCTACTTGTGTTTTAATATATACTTAATTCGTGTGAGAATAATTATTATTGAGCAGATAAAGAGGGTGGGAGATTATATTCCAGCGGCGAGTGTCTCTTTTGTCCAGAAACTGTATCTATATCGGCCAATAGTCGCTCCGCGCGTTGTTCCGTTACCGGTGCAGTTGGAGGTGTGTAACGATCGGATATAAGGCCTTCTATATAATACCCAACCACGGCAATAGGAATACATATGAAAACGTTTAATGTACGACCAGATAAAAGTTTATTCAATATTGGCCACATCTTCTGAAATCAGAGTACGACAAATATACAATATATACGTATATATATGTACACCTAACTGGATTGGGTTTTAGCTCTGAATGAATATAGACAAGTACGCATTACTTATCGCTCTTACAGTTAGTGGCATATGATGCGCACATTAATGTTGGGCCAAAATCCAATGAACTAGGTATACTACATGTACATTTCGCTATCCTCTTAATCTTCAATTTTTTCTCGCTGACATTGACGTACGGTACGATATTTCGAAAAGTTTTCATCTCGATTTATTCATGTTGCGCGTTTCACGCGATTTTTGTATGCATTACATATGAATCACGATCTTACGTTACAAGATCGTATTCTCGATGATTTTTAGAAGAGAGGTTATGCTCGAAGGACAATCAACCGACTTTTAATTTAAACGGAAGCGATCGGTTTATGTTTTGCGAAAGATACATGCATGATCTTCAGATGCCTCGCGAACGCGGACATTTATTTAGGTTCCAATTTCAAATATGTATTTACCTGGCATGTGGGGATCGATGTGATCAGACCGGGTTTGAGATTTTTCGAAGTTGTAAAGAGTAGTTGTAACTGCGTGTAACTTCAATTCCAAAACGAAGGAAAATCGTTGGTACTTTTAAGTTGACATACCAATTAATCTACTTTAAACGAACGATTAGCAAAGTACGTAACGTTAATATATACGTACGGGGTGGTACGGGCGTACATACACGTACTACTCGCTACCACTACGGCCATCATGGCTACGATTACGTCTCCTACCCTACCGCTACTCTGGTTCCAGTTGGTTCACTTGGTTCCCGTCCATGTGTCTTATCTATATCTGTAGATCCAACATATTCTAAGAATATATGCTCTATGTATATGTACATATGTATAATTGTATGTATTAAGAAACAAGGAGTGCTTTTCGTATTGTATAATATAGTTAAGAGATACATCTTCGAACGATCGAGCACTTGAATTAAAGTTTGAACGTTAGGCAATATGTTCTATTGCTAAACTCAATTTTATTCAAATATTCAATGTTTTCAAGTTTCCGTCACGCGGCATACACACGGACACGCACGCGGAAGAAACGTGCGCAACGTTTATGCGTGTAATTTGTATTCCTCGAATCTGCGCTTTACATACAATAATAGCGATAATAGTCGATTAATAAGTTTCGATCAAATCGATTCGAATGGTAACGAACAAGATCTATTTACGTATATGTATATATATACATATATGGGTATGTATATATATACTATAGGTATGTAGGTACGTATGCAGTTGTTTCGAAAACAAAACACTGTCTGTTTATTGTTGCGAAGGTGCAAAGTTTCAAAGTGAATGGTACGTAACTTACGATATTTTTTCGTTATAAACCTAATTAGGTATAGATCGAAGAGATACATCCGATGAGCTGTATTACTTGCATTTACATCGAAACGTACATTCGATCCTTGATTGATTACAGATTCAGATTCAGATTCTTTAGCGTTTCGCTCGAATTGTTTCTTTTATATTATGTACGTACTATGTATCTATGTATGTAATATACTTCGCTCGTTCTCGGTCCTTTGTCACAAAGTTTAGGTACATTCAACGGACAAAAAGTTTCGAGTAACTCATCATTAATTTGAAAAGACGAGCGCGAAGGGAAAAATGATGTTCCGTGTTGTGTTGCGTGTAACGCACGTATACGTAGCTATAAATACAGATACATATACATACATACAATAGGTACACGCATGTCGCATACATTAAATAAGCACTCGTTTCACCTATCTATTTAGTAGTCTAATAGTACGCTTACGATTACGATTAGGATCAGGGTTGGGATTAGGGTTACGATTAGGATTACGGTTACGGCTACGTTTGCACGAGTAAACTCGTAATTTTCGTTCGCACGTGCCGCGGTGCCGTACTTACACATTTCCTTCTCCTTTCGTTTCTGTATCACGCGAAAAATGATTTTTCGCTTAGACATCGACATAAGACTATCTCATCGTTATCGTTAAATTAACTCCATCTCGATCATTGCACAAAATAAATCCCTAAACTACTTTGTACAAGTATAATATTTATAACTCTATGCGCAAATTTGGTTTCAGTAACAGAATGCTAAAGGATTCTACTTGACTAGTTTTATGCATCACTATGTTCGTTCCAATCGCGGACACTCGCAACTGCGACCGTTCGAAAAGATCGGGATTATCGGGAAGTGCGCAAGACAATGTACCTATGATTATACATACGCGTACGTTTTTACGTGATCCAACGATATCGTTCCTTTGCGGAAAATACTTTTATACGCGCTTTCCTCTGTCATTAGTTTGCTTTTGCTATATGTATCACGCCGACGACAAATGTTAAACGGCGATCGATCGTGGTTCGATCGACGTCTCTCTCGCTCGCGCTCCTGGTGACTACGCATAAGGCGTAAAATACAATTCGTATTTGTGATTCCTTAATTCGATTTTCCCATCGTTCGCGGTAGCCCAACGATTCACTGATACGTGTTACAAAACGAAAGCCCGGCGTTTTAGCGGATTCAGAGCTTTGCTATTAGGGCACTTAACTTACTCTTTAGACGCGTACATATTTTTCTACTCTTTGTTCTTGGTCAACAAAATCGCGATGGTGATGATTTTCCAAAGAGACCGGTTGTCGGTTACACTACCTATGTATATCGTTTTTATACGATCGGGTTAACTTTTAAACGAATATAGAATGATAATTTGATTGCGAGTTGGTTCGCGTTTCGCGTTATCGCAACGTTATCTACTTTCTATACTACCTTCGTCGACAAACGATTCCACGTATACTTCGGTAGTTATTCGTTCCTCGTCGAACGAGTAAATGTAACGACGATTTAAAGGTATTTTCGATAATAAAAATATGGTTGAGCGAAATAAAATGAAAGCGCGGAAAGAAGAAAGCTAACGATAAAAAGTGCGAGATGAGGCGCGTGTGAAGGGAACATGAAATGTGCGAGCAAGTTGTTCCTTCGTGACCGATCCTGGACACAATCGAATTTAACGATTTGGATTAGCCGCAAATACGTGTGCACGTTGGTAACGCGATTAATTCGTGCCACATGGCGGTACATAGCATCTTTTTCGCCTCATCGCGTCGTTTGCACAGAGACTAGGAAGTGTGTATATTATTTGAAGCACCACCGATTCCTATATATGTATACTACATCGCTCTCTACCCGATTCTCAAACCGTGCAACCTGCCGAATCGATAAAAGTATGTACATCGCCAAAATATCATCGAGTTGTCGGACAGATTTTGCTCGGAAGCGTAACGGTAGCCTATCGTTAACCGCCGAGTGTCGTCAATTCATCGTACGGAACACATCTAGAAGCGTCCGCTAAACTTTCGTCAATCATGTATAAAAAGAAAAATTCGACTCAGTTTCGATCCCACGTATGCCATGTATCTCACCACTCTTTGCTGATAATAGTTTCATCTGATATAGGTCGAAATCTTCGACATCTAAAACCAACAGACGGATCATTAAATAAAGAGATGTCGTGATTGAATAAATAGCGAACTCACCTGGCATTGTTTTCTTGAACATGAGGCGGCAGAGTAGGAGGAGGCGGCGGTGGTGGAGGTGGCGGCGGAGGTTTCACCGGACCGCTGTTATCGGACTCATTGTCGCTACTCTCTTCGGCCCGCTTCGCCGTTTCTCCTAATAGATGAGACGGCACTCCTCTGGTAGGGAACTTGGTTGATGATAACACTTCGGAATGGGATCTGATTCTACGTTGAGATCTTTGTAACCGAAGTTGCCTTCGGCAACGTAACGTAGGCGTGCATTCGTTTAAATTTTCGTCTTCTGCTGAATTAGTCGACGTTAAAGGTGAAAAGATCGACGGTTCATTGGACAATGTGGAGCAGCCTCGAAATACCTCCAGTACCAAGTGTTTGCATTTGACAGCTAAAATTTGGCAATGTTAGTATCGTTAAACCGAGAATCTCTAACCCGATGTTAATCGCGATATACAAGATCGTTACTCGAAAGAAGACGAAAAACAATTCGATCAACGGACGGCGTTCCGATATCTTTTTTGTATTCTCTCAATCGCTCGGCCGAAATAATATTTTCTTGCTTCGGCATTACGCGTTTACGCGTACACGTATCTATGTAGTATGTACTATGTAAGTACTTATGTTGTTATATTATGTGTAACGATACGTGTATGTATGTTATGCTATGGTATGCTTACAATCGTCTTCTACTCGTCACCATAACTAATTGAAAGATCGAATAATGGATGATGTGGGTACGGCAGGGATAGAGCAAATGACGAAGGAACGTAAGAAGGAAAGGAACGAGAGACGATACGCGATGCACGTAAACGATAACGATCGAGCTTGTAAAGTGGAACGAAATAGCCTACCTCCACGGTATCCCTCCCATTCCCTTGGAAAAGAAAAAAGAATAAAAAAAGAGATATACGCATGAGAGAAAAAAAGAAACGTGCAGAGAATTGTTTTAGTTATCAACGATTACTATACGTATTAGGTATAACGAACAAACAGCGAAATATCGCTTTAGAGCTAAACTAATGGTTACGATCATCCGGTCTGTCTCGAAAGACAGACGATCGTTCGTTGACAAGTTTTATCGTCGTAAAGGCAAAGTCGCATCGCGTTACATAAGACGACAAGTAAATTAGAAGTCGAACAATGCCCTCTTACTTTCTTCGGCAACGAACCAACTCTAGTTTCAATTACTATATTGGTAATGTTTCGTCTTAAATAACGAGCGCCGCGGAAAAAACTTCGCCTCGTACCCAATTAACTAAAGTTCCGAGAAAGTCCTCGACCCGTGCCGGAACTCGTCAAATTGGTATACGTACGTAACGTTGAACGTCGTGTTCGGATTTGGAAAGATAGAATCGTGTGACTAAAAAAAAAATCTTACTAACTAGCATCTTTGTCCCTGGTTATAGCCGCCGGCGTCGACGATTTTTCTACTTCGCTTCCCACACTGCTTCTGATATTTTGAGAATTCGTTTCCGGAGCTGATTCGGACAGCGAACATCTAGGGCTTTTAACCGGGATCGGAATTTTACTGACAGCGTTGTAAGTCCTACAAGGAATTTCCTTGTCCTTTCCATCCTTCTGCTGCTGCTGTTGCTGTTGCTGTTGCTGTTGCTGTGCGCGAAGCGAGTGTACCGCGTTACACTGCAGTACAGTGGTCGAGGCAGTAACGGTGCTGTTCTCGAGTTTGTGCGTCGCATCATCGACGACTGGTCGATTCTCAACGGCATCGTCGTATATCGACGGTTCCTCCATTTCGGGATTGGGACTGGTCAGTCCATCCGCTGTACCGTTCGTCATTTTTTCTACGAAAAATCGCGTAACGCGACATTGGAAATTCGGAAAGAAAAACGGATCGTTGGGTACGTTCGAATCGGGCGATGAAAGGGGTCGGTGGCTTACTTTGCAACGGTTCTCTATCGGCCGTAGTTTGTACAACGGTGGCACCGCCGTTCGCGTCGACCACTCTGATCTCCAATCTTCCCGCTACGGCTTCTTCTTCTTCTTCACCTCCGTCTGGCAGGGCGGCACCCGTCGCGTTCGGTGTTGAAACCGAGAAACCGACCGCTGCCACGCTCGCTCTTCGCGCGGCTGGCTTTTCCCACGGCTCGTCGTTGCGCGCCGCTACATTCCACATTACGTCGACTTCGTACAACGCGTCGTCGAACGCAGCCTGTTGGATCTGTCCGATCGAGGCAGCAACAAAGAGACGAACAAAGAGAGAAAAACGTAGGAATAAGAGCGTCGATTCGGAATAGCGATTATTCGATGATTTAGATATCGATTGTCGATTATACCAGGGGTGCTTCGAGATGATCGCGAACGTGCGATGCGAAGGCAGGTACGCTCCAAGCACGCGGAAGTGTAGCTTGAAGGTCTGGATATTTTTCGATCCCAGCGATGTTCAAACACCTATGAGGATGAGGCACCACGGGCTTCGTAGTATCCTCGCTTATCCGTGACAGGGCAGTTGGTATTATCGCGTGTTGAGGCGCGTTCGATGTTGATGACTGTATCACTGTCGTTTTTGCACCGCAGATGGATGACGCAGGCACCAGACCGGCGGCACTGGTCGCGGCATCGCTGACCGTAGACTGCGGATATCGCGTAATAAAACTTTTTGTAAAAGCAGACTATGTAAGCGTCGATTCCATGAAGTTAATCTCTGGGATCCAGGGGCCACGTCTTGTCGCATGGGTCATACCTACTATGATTCGATTTCGATTTAAGCGTTTACCTGGTGAGCCACGGTAGGCAAGTTGCTGGTTCCCTTGTGTTCGGGACTTTGTAAATTCTCTCCTTTCCATTCGTTGTCGGTCTCCTCAGAATCGTCGAACTGCGATTTCCATTGAGATGCCAAAGTTAAACCGCCTCCAGCTTTGGTCACTTGCTGTAACGCCGAGACGTTATCGTCGTCAATCTGCGCAAACTGAGTGATGGAACAGTCCCTCATCGTGGCGCGACTAGCTCTCGCCTGTTGCCGTCCATCGATCCGCCTTCGCGGTTCTCGTTTCAGTGGTTCTCTCTGCTCCGTGACCTAGGTGCGGGATCGGGCAGACAAATCACTGGTTGAAACGATGCCGCATCACCCAAATCTTTAACTTGAATCGCAAGTCGAACTTACGGGGCTCTGATTGCCGCCGAGATATTTCGGATTGGTGACATCGTAAGAACAGTAGGAGGCATCGACCTCGGTTTGTACTCGAGGGCTAGGTGGTTCACCAGGCGTTGCCTCGGCCGTAGGTGTAACTCGCAATCGAGCAAATGTCGCCCCGCTCGCAGATTTTCTTAACGGTGCCGCAGCGTTCGCACCAATTTTGTTGCGAGGGACTTCCGAAGCGGAACGAGCGGATGCCATCAACGCATCGCCCTCGTTGTCCACTACGCCGGTCGTCGTTTGCGGTTCCGCGGCCATGGAAACTGCTCGCCTTTTCTTAGGCGAGTCTGTAACGGAGTTAAATAAAATAGAATCATCGATATCACCATCTAACGACCGTTACCGTCGGTTCGGTCAAATAATCGTAACAACCTTGAGTTTGTTGTCCCGATTGCTGATGACTGTTGTCCATCGTGGGTATCGTGGCGTTGCAATTTTTATCTCTGCCGTGATTGTTACTGATAGTCGATGTAAACGGCACCGAAGATCCTTCCACTCCGCGTTGCTTGTTTCTCCTGCATATACTTTCGTAATCCATTTGTGCCTGTATCATTACAGTACGTAATGTATACGTCAGTCGCAGCATAACGCGTACGTGTACGCGTGATTCGTGTATGATTCGCGCCGACTTACGTCCAGTTCTTTCCTATTATCGGGCTCGACGTTCTCCTGATTATTCGTATCGATGTTCGGCGTAGTTACCGCTTGATTGACCGTACTCGCCGTCGTCAGTACCGGAGGTATAGCAACTTGGTAATTGCTAGGCAACGATCTCGTACTCGGCAAGCTTTCGTTGGACGTATACGGTCTCTCCCAATCGTAAGGATCGTTCGGCTTTACTCCTCTGCGTTTTAGGCAACGCTCGAACAAACCAGCCAGCATGGCGTAATCGGGTTTATCCGCGTATTCCAAACTCTAAAAAAACGTGCTGCTCGCTAACACGTACGAAATTGGAGGGGAGAAGGATCGCTGTTCGGGTAAATAGTGTTCATTGTTGGACGTAAATCGTAACGCGAAGTTCGCGTAACAAATACGTACCTGAATATGTTCCAAGAAGATTCGAAGATCCGCTGGAAGATGTTTTAAAAGTAAGCGATGATCGTATTTTTCTTTCATGAGACCCACCTAGACGAAAAAAGGGGAAACGGGGAGGAAGGATAGGGGAAGGGGAAAACACAGGTATAAACGACACATTAACATTTAGCGAGAATATTATGTTTTATGACGAGCAAAATGAATATACCAGTATGTATCTACATATCGTAGATATACAGAAGAAAAGAGAAAAGAACGAGAAAAAACATAAGAAAATGCAATGATACTTGATTATATTGCCTGCATCGCATACCTGTTCTTTGTCCTTTATCTTTCGCCATGGAAGTTGTCCATTACCAAACTCTACCAGCATATAAAATAATGACCACAAATCGTCATGCCTGCCCATTTCTTTATTTTTGTGCGCATTCACGGATGCGTAGCGGACGGTTCCTCGAAATCCAGCAGCGGCACGAGGTGGTCTAACTTCGCCGGTACCCGTCGTAAATTGACGCGCTAAACCGAAGTCCAGCATGTATACCAACTTCGAGGTGTGCGGAAGGCGTCCCATCGAAAAATTTGACTAGAACCGTGAAAAATCGCGAATAAATTGATTACGTTTTGCCACGCGATAAATAAAAATTACCGAGACGAGAAAAAAAAAGAATAGAACGATCAGAATAATTCGAAGACCCACCGGTTTAATGTCCCTGTGAAGAAACCCCACTTGATGTATACTCTCTATCGCTTTCAGAATTTGAAGTCCTAAACGTAGAGTAGTGGATAACGAGAAAGCACCTCTGGGTTGAGCGCGTCGTAATTCTGCTAAATTTTTCCCTTGTAATTGCATCACAACGTAATTGAATCGATCGTTACGACCGCAACCAATAAACCTGCATACGTGTTCTCTACCTGCGCGAATAATTGCGATGAATCAGCGATACAGATATCAACGTAGCAGTAGATATTAGGTATGTGAGAAGATCTAACGCACCCTGTAGCTTTTTAAGTACCGCTACTTCCATTTTAAGAACTTGTTTCGATTGACGAGCTGATTCGACTTTCAAGGCGACTTGTTCCTTGGTCACTAAATCTAGGCCCTCGTAAATTTCGCCAAACCCGCCGCCACCTATTCTTTTCACCTGTGGAGAATAAAAGGAAAAAAAAGGAAATAGCGAATTGTTAGTAATGTGCAACGACAAAGCGACGGATCAAGTTTGAGAAAGGAAAAAACTTACAACTTTCCAACGTTCTTTGACCTCATGGCCAGGCTGCAACAAATCCTCGCACATCATAGTTATATTGTTATTCTGATCCGTACTTTCGTCGCCTACATTCCTTGGATTTAATGTGGTAGAATGGTCGGGATGCCTGAAAATCGATGCCTCTATTAAGAGATTTGTCAAAGATTCGAAAAATCATTCGCATGCTGATAGTCTCTATCGGCTTCTGACTAGTCCAGGCTTCTCTGGTTCGTGCCTCCCTGCTTTTGCTCCTGCCTTCACCCGTTAATACGCGACTACGTGATAAAGCGACAACACGGATCACTAATCTCACTATCTCACTGCCCTTGCTACTGACGGTCACTGACGGTGATGATGACGACGACGACAACTGATCCAACGAGAACGAGTACGGAGTCGATAATTCGCATTAAATCGAAGCAAAACGCGAGTTAAAGTAGAACACTCAAGAATCCGCCGTAGCAAACTTTACGACTGTCAACGCGAGGCAAGCGACACGCCCCGAGCGTGAAAACAGGTTAGTTTTTTAACCTAAAGCAAAGCATATTACGGTACAAAATTGGTCGATACCGAGCGCCCTATGTTAGGCAGCCATGATTACGTGCGAGGAAAGGGTGCAGCGGCTATGCAGGGTGCGATTCGATTCTTTAGCAATCGTTCATTCACATTCGACGTTCGATCTGTCACCGTTTGATTTCGTTACGTTTCTCCTTCGAATCGAAACCGTGTTTCAATCGTCGATTCCGAGTCCCCGGATCCCCAAGCCTTTCCCTCTTTAATTTTTCCCCTTATTAAATGTTCGAGGAACGATTTCATCCCAGCCCCGTTGTACCACGTCAACTCGGAACAATCGTATCACGAATCGAGACTGTCGATCGAATCTCCACTCTAACAGAACGCGCGTAACTATTGTAAATCGAGAGAGAAAACCCACCCGAGGTCTCTTTGAAGCTACTTAAACTAAATAATCCCTAACCTTTTTTCGATGATTTTATACAAACGTCTATGAATATTTTCCACTATATGTATACATATAACAGGGGGTAGTTGGAAAGCGGAAAGCTTCCCTAGTCCCTGAATTCTCGCGTACGTACCAAAACCGATCCGAATGCGATTAGTATTTTATTTTCACTGTCAGTGTCGTTTGTTAATCGTTGCGACAGCGAAGAATTCTCAGAATCCTCGGATATTAGGTGTGTTGTTAACGTTAGTAGTTGGTTCACGATCCTGCACCTGCACTTCCCTCCGTTTACATATCTTTCCTTTTCTTTTTTCCTCTCCCGCTCTCCGTTCTTTCCTCGACTCTTTCTACCACTATTTTTCCCCTTCCCGCTATCCAGTTCTATCTTCACCTCACCCTTTCGTTTTCCTTTCTCTCTTTTCTTCGCTCACCCTTTCTCGCCACTCTGCTCTTACCCTTATTATCCTACTATACACGCCACACCACGGTACATCCTACCGCGTACCGCATCACTCCACCTCCACGTTCCACATAGTGTCCATGTCCACGACGGTCCGCACTTTCGCACCACCCCTTTACGATATCTCTTGCTCTTGCTTGTCATATACTTGTATTGGTGAGTAAAGTGCAAGTAAGTACTTCTCTCTCGCTCTCCCACGCTCTCTTTCTCTCTTTCTTTCTCTCAGAAACGATCGTTCGCTCGTACGAAAGCGATTCTGCTTCTTCGACGTTTTTATCGCACTGTTCTTTCTGTTCCTACGCGATCACTTTCTCCGCCGTGAGTAAAACATGTCGGATATATCGCGCTAGTTCCCGTCAAAGACCGATGGCACGGCCATTTTTCGATTTCGTACCACGGCATTCGTAATGCTTATAAGCGCCGCAAGATAGCGACCCGAAACCTCGATCGATGTCTACCTTCCTATCTCTTTTCCCTCTATCGTTTCAAACGTTTCGAGAATCGCGATCGAATCGTTCATTAGCGATAGTCAGCAACTCAGCACCAGTCAGCACTCAGCGATAGTCAAGTCACAGTTGCAGCCTGCAACTGTGACTTGACCTGCAACTTGCAGGTCGCAGCGGTCGCAGTCGCAGTTAACTAGTATACCAGTAGCTAGTTACAGCCAGCTAGATCGGTTAGATGTGGACGACACGAGTAGACAACCACAATCCGTTTCGAGATCATGACCGAGTCGTTGCAAATTTTTATCACTATCATCGTACACGTCGTAAATTGTCTAGAATCTAAAATCCTTGTTGTTTTTCGTTCATTTCGTCCGTAGTAACTAATCAGATCGGTTGAAGACTCGAAATAAGTTCTACATAAATACATAAAACAGTGTTCTACGCGAGACACCAACCAAGCCTGGTATCATTCTTGGCTGTCTGTTTTAAGTCTTTTATCCGCAACTATCCTCTATAAATTAGAATAATGATTAATCCTTCTCTACGTTGCACGCGCACGCAAACACGTTAACCGTTCAGCTGTAGCGGAAAACTGAAGCTGCGAGCGGTAAACATTCTTTGCATATATTAGGAATCTTTAACAGCTTATGCTGCCCACACGTATGCCAGAGTATTACGTGTACATGCGTACATGTTGATATGCATTAACTCGCATTTGAGATTTTACATGTTCTTGTATACGGGTGCGAATAGGTGAGTCGCGGTCGTCACCAAGTACTATAGTAGACGAGACACACGGTTAATTCGCGTGCGTGCGAATTTATTGTTAGTCGGGGGCAGAAGCCACGCATTGCTCGCATGCTTACGATCGAATGTCACGCTCAAGGTAACTAAGAATCGTCTTTTTTTATTTTGGTTTCCACGTTGTTTCTCGTTTCGGGAGGACGACACGCGACTTGCGCGAGACTTTATAATTAGACAAAAGTCGCAAATTAATCGTCACGTGAATGTTAAAGGGGGAGAGAATAAGGGATATCATCGTTAACATGAAACGTACTTTCTATTTTCATTTAAAGTACGTTTCGATTCGAAGCATGGGGTAGGTTTAGGTACACACATATATTAGCGTTCATGCATTCGTTACAATCGAATAAGACCAACACGGTGCATAATGAAATTTCGAAATGCTTAAATTACCGAGTCCATTCGCCAGAGGGCATAATATAAGTTTAAACATCTATTTTTAAACGACCCCACTTAGCGTGTGTGCATATGAAACGTAAAGTATAGTATCTTTTTTCCACGCCAAATGATTTTTCTCGCTAGATTCAGATACGCGTATACGTAAGTAGCTACGTGATATGTACTTTAGCTGTTTCTAATCGTCCGCGTCAGATTCGACGTCAAGCATACGCTTGGTAATTGTTTCTTTTCGCTTTTCTATTTTGCTCATGCAGATAATTATCGCACGAGAGTTTGCGCGTACATGTGTGCATGTACGTACAGAAAAATGATACGTACGATCGTAAAGATGATTAAATACACGTATATTCAAGTATATCATTTTTTGACCGTTTGCGAAAGTTTAGAAAGCAGGCGCGTTATGTATAACAGGAAGTTAATCTGAAACCGTTAAGGGATGCAAGTATTATGCGTTTAATATCAAGGACGGAGAACAAGCTGATGTACCCGTAGCGGACATTAGGAAGGAAAGAAAGATATCGCGATGTAATCGGGGATGAACAGATATACGTATATATGTTCGTCGAAAAAGATAATTACGTACCATTTCATAATTTCGAGTGAAGGTAAAGCACACGTAAAGATTGTACCAGTGATGACGATTAGTTGTTGCCGATGCGATGCGACGCGTCGACTATGCCGATGTCGATGTAGATGCTGACGAGCGATGAACGGTTAGCGATAACGATGACAGCGGCAAGGGTGGTATCGTCGATCGAGACTTATATAGCACTATGTACAAGATGGGTATATAGTACAGAAATTAACTGGTAAGCGAACTAATGCGAATGGTTCGATCGGCGGTCGGGCAAGATCGGTAGTGTCGCCGATTATGAACTTGACGCAATGTACGACGAATAATTGCACAATTCTTTTTCATGCAGAGCACAAATAGCGAACAAGTATCGCCGGTAGCTAAATACTAAATAACGTAGTATTACGAGTTCGCTTTGCCCGAACCGGTGCGTCGCTAGAGTCTTCCGATCGGAACGAGATAGAATCTATGTCGTTGTCGCGTTCCACCAGAATCGGAAACTAGAGACTGGCACGAGGACAGGCTCGACCGTGCCGTCGCTGTCGCTTTCCAACTGGCAGCAACCGGTGTCGCAGCGTCGAGATGTTCGTGCTCGATACCCGCGACCGCAACTACATGGCCAGTACGGCCACCGAGGAACCGATTTCGGATTTCGGCCAGACCCGATGCGATGCGCCGACATTGCGACGATGGAAACGTAAGTAGATCTACTCATAGCTAGCAGTGCGTGCCCTTATGCACAGGTCCGTACTCGATCATCGAAACTTTGGGTATTTGGGAGGCCCGACGGTATTGCCACGAGATCGTCTCCTCGCGCACCCTGATGCGCTACCAGCTATAGTTACGAGAACCTACCGAGCGGTACCGAATAAAGCTAATCAGTTTCGCTGATCGTTAATCGATCCGATTCTCCATCGCGACGATCTCCTACAATCTAAATGCGCGATCGCCAATTACGGTTCCAACAACCATAGATAGCTACATTTCCTTTCGCAGAACTTCATCGTTTCGTCGTGCGATTCTTTCCGAGAAAATATTCACGATACAGTTTTCGTATTTTGTCGCCCTCGCATTTAACAAAGTTGTGTTATTTCGGTACAGCGTGGTCGGGCATTCGGGCGATTCATCCAAGCATTCGACGAATATCATTGTTTTTCAATTGATGTTTCTTCCGATTCTCGTATCTCGCCAGTATGATATCAACCTGGGTCACATAAAATTGTATTCGCAATTTTATCGATATTCGCTTATCGATAGTGGGTTTTCGCATTCAAACATTATACGTATTTGAGGATATAGACACAGCGACAAGAGAATGTAAAAAGTGGTACATAATATTTTCTATTCGTTTCTCGTACAATTATCATTCCATTTTACTTTGAAAATTGGATAACGGAATGCCACTTTGCTACTCTACGATATGTAAGTAGGTATGCCAGAATCGAGAATAGCACCGGTCAAACGAAATAGCCGCATTTACCTATGTAATACCAGACGTTGATCGAAGACCGTCCATTGAATATACATAATGGGAATACTTTTTTATACCATATTTGTATCCATTACAATTATGTATAATTGTATATCCGCACGATAACGCGATCAGCCACTTTAATTCGTGTCATCGATTTTCGATACGTTTTTTATATACTTTACGTTACACAAATACTTTTTATACAGTTACATCGATGAAAAGATAAAAGTAGGCAAGTAGAAATAATACACGTTCATCTTCGTCGGTCGCATTCGCGTTGCGAGAATTCTACTACCTATCTGCATCTACATCTACGTTCCATATATCACGTACGTATATCCCTATATATATAGATCCCTAGATATATATATATATATGTAGATACGTCTGTGTGCGTGCAAAGCATATGCTTCAATACGAACGTTAACCTTTCTTTGACGTTTAAGATCGATGTGTATATTATTATACTACAAATGTATTAATATAGATAGTCTTGAAATGAATCATATCTTATTTCAATACTACACCCGTCATTCAACAGGATTTAATATAGCTATTAGAAATATAAGTATCGGCTTTACAACGATACAGAGGATCCTCACTGTTCGATTACCTATCGATCATCTATCGATGCACTTTTTTAAAATATGTACAGTAGCTAGGTTTATCATCGTTTGTTAATTGGCGGCTCGAAGCAGCTTACTTTTCCGCGCTCAACTATCTCCCTTACGATCTCCCTACTCGACTCAGGTCCATGGGTACATATACGAGTTACAAGGTTAAATAACAAATAAAACTGCAACAGCTGACATCGCACTCGTAATCAGTGCCGAATAAAGACGTGCGTATATAGAAAAGTATAGCTTCGTCGACGGTAATCGAGTGCAACGTACAGCCTACGCGTAAACCTACATGAATACCGTATACGCAAGTACGAAAAATAGTCGTCTCGTTTCGATCCGCACGATTAAAAAAGTTTTAAGAGGTCGCTGTGTTCGTCGACCTTGCTTCGACTTTGCCGAGTCAAGGTATGACAACGATACGAGCTACTCGAGGATAGTCAAGAATTCGATCAGCAGTTGGAACGCTGTACAAAGTTCGTTGAAATTAACACAGGACGATAACGCGTTATTCGTTGTTACACCGAATATCATATCGAGAACGATACATCATTCATCCGAAATTATGGCACTAAATAAACTCAGCATCGACAAGGTTGATCTTGCGAACAAGCGTGTTCTGATTAGGTGGGTGTATTTCCCTCTTCATATTACACCTTTTTCTTGCGATAAGCTAGATACGTAACAGTTAGCCGAATTGAATTTCGTTCGCGCGAACGTCTCGGTTTTCGGTGTAAGTTTTATGTAAGTATACTTACTTACATAGTAGCTTGACAGCAATAGGCGCCTTCTGTGCATGCAGGAACGAAAGATGAAATTAATAATGTTCGCATTAATGTAATGCACGTAGGGTGGACTTCAACGTGCCCCTGAAGGATGGCAAAATCACCAATAATCAAAGAATCGTCGCTGCCTTGGATACGGTGAAATACGCTTTAGAAAAGAAAGCTAAGTCCGTTGTTTTAATGTCACATTTGGGCCGGCCAGACGGCAACCGAAACGAGAAGTACACGCTAAAGCCAGTCGCAGAAGAATTAAAAACTTTACTTGGGAAAGAAATTCTGTTTTTGAATGATTGCGTCGGGCCAGAAGTAGAGGCTGCTTGCGCTGATCCAGCACCTGGAACGATTATCTTGCTCGAAAATTTAAGATTCCACGTAGAGGAAGAGGGCAAAGGAGTAGGACCAGACGGAAGCAAAGTAAGTACCATATAATAGGCATTGTGTATCATCGCTATTAATATCTGAAACGGATTCGAAGATATTGAAAAGAAACGAATCGTCGTCGTCATCATCGTCGTCACGTTCTTCATTATCTGAATAAAGGTAAAAGCGGACAAAGACAAAGTGCAGGAATTCCGAAAATCGTTACGGAAATTGGGAGACGTTTATATTAATGATGCCTTTGGTACGGCTCATCGTGCTCACAGTTCTATGCTCGGAGAGGGATATGAAACGAGAGCGAGCGGTTTTCTTTTGAAGAAAGAATTGGAATATTTTGCCAAAGCGTTGGACAATCCCGTGAGACCGTTTTTGGCGATTCTGGGAGGCGCAAAAGTCGCCGATAAAATACAACTGATCAATAATTTGCTGGACAAAGTTAACGAAATGATCATAGGTGGTGGAATGGCTTATACGTTTTTGAAAGTATCGAAGAATATGAAGGTAGTTGCCGCACATTGTTTGTACCTCGCTGATTCGGGATGCGTTCCTTGCAATTACCGTTTCATTTGCGTTTTAGATTGGTAATTCATTATTTGACGAGGAGGGTGCAAAAATTGTCAACGAAATATTGTCGAAGGCTGAGAAAAATAAGGTACAAATACATTTACCCGTCGACTTTGTAACCGCGGACAAGTTTGCGGAAAACGCGGCTGTCGGTGCAGCGGATGTAGAAAGTGGTATACCCGACGGTTGGATGGGTCTCGACGTTGGCCCCAAATCGAGAGAATTATTTAGTGGTAAGTTTTGCTTTGCAAACAAGGATCGAATTTGTTCGACTTCCCTACATTGTAACTGACACTCTAACGCGATACATACATTCGACTGATCGATTCACAGAACCCATTAAAAGAGCGAAAACGATCGTTTGGAACGGGCCAGCCGGTGTTTTTGAATTTGAAAACTTCAGTAAGGGTACGAAGACTCTGATGGACAATGTCGTAGAAGTGACGTCGAAAGGTGCCATTACCATAATTGGCGGTGGCGATACGGCTACTTGTGCCGCTAAGTGGAAGACCGAGGATAAAGTAAGTCACGTAAGCACCGGTGGTGGTGCGAGTCTAGAACTTCTCGAGGGAAAAGTTTTACCAGGAGTTGCAGCCCTTTCCCCATCATAATTCGTCCGATAAGTGGTCGTCGTATCAAATTTATGTCGCGGAAATCAAGTGAAGGGAAAGAGGATCGGACGTTTTGTTAAGTTATACGTCTTCGTTTCGGCAGTTTCTTTACGATTTACGCGACGATCGTTATCCTTATCGTTGTTGGAGCGTTCGATTGCAAAGAGAACAAAATACGAGTAAATAGTATGTAAACATCTGTTATAGCGGCTATTATACATAGTAGTTAAAAACGATGTAAACTATGGCTATTATATTTTTCCCGCACAATAAAACATCCAACGAAGGTTTAGTTAAGAGAAAAGTTGTATCGCATTGTATTACCATTGTATATATATATATGCATTTACTTTCAATGAATATTTCTATTTACAAACGCGATGCTGCTTGTTTTCAGAGCATCGGCGGACAATGATGAATTGCGCTTTATTAAACGAATGTTTCCCATGTATCCCTTGTACGTATGTATAGTAATAGATAGTACGTACACGTATAGATAGAGTATGTACAATCTAAGAACGCGCACCATTTGCCCTCCCAACATTTTACTACGTTCACATCACACTACAATTTTGCGACGATTCCATGTTACGTAGTAATGAAGGAATCACAACATCTCCTTCGGCATCAAGATTGAAAGGATGTGTCGCCTGCTCTCCTATCAATTCTACGGGTAATTGACCGCAACCTTGTACTTCCTGCATGAGAGCTATTATTTTTTCCAAACGCTTTTTTTTCGTTTCTTCGTTATCTCCATCCTTCTCTTCATCGAGTTCGGTGCACACCTGCAATAACAGATCGTTTTTAACGAAATCCACGATCCTCTTTTAACGCACTCAATCTCCTCGTAACATCCAATCATCATAATACGTAAGAAGACAACCTGCTGCATTAATTTCAGTTGTTTCGTATATCTCTGCAGGTCATTCGGAGGTATAGTTTCCTTTTTTTCCTCCAACCATTCGGGATACTTGTCTACCAATTCTTTTAAGGACGGGTACAGAATTTCTTTTGAAAGTAAATGCTGTAACATTCCGTGCATGAACGGTAAAATAGCGCCAGGACCATCTTCCAAAGATGTTTGTCCAAACATTTCGCTCAAATCGACCTCGCTCTACGAATGGGCAACGTTTACACAAAACGATCAGATTATAAAGCATATCGAAACTTGATTTGAACAAATACCTGTAAATTTTCAGACGTTGCGGATAAATCATTTAACGCTTGTGCGATGACAGACTGGAAGTCTGTGTTCGTGCCATCCCTGTCGAAGGTATCGTCATTTTTTATTGCACTAGCAACGGTTTGTGCCATTCTTTGAAAAGAGGCATCTAAGTCGCTGTCTGTTCCTGGTCGATATGAAAAATTTGATTATTCATTTGTCTTTTCTTCGTTGGTTACACATTGTACTTACCATTACTGTTTTGAATAAAATTTTGTATGTTTTCTTCGAACTGTTCCGCTGCTTGCTTAATAAAATCTGCAGTCCATGTATCCTGTGGAACATCTGATGCCTCCTCGTCCTCAGTAGTCTCTAAAGTACTTGGCTTACTTACATCTTTCTTAGACGGTATTTGTTCTTTGCTAAAATCCTTTAAAGCACCTATAATGGATGATTTTTTCTTTTTAACTAACAATTTTTCTGGATTACGTAATAAATATTTATTCAACTATTTCGAAGACGATTAATCTAAGTTTCATCCATTCTATTCATACCTACTACTTAATTTTTTTATTTTGAACGAAGAATCGTGAAATATTCATTTGATATAAATGTGTATATGAAAAAGTATCAAATGCAAAAAATGTCATTTTCAGATGTTCCCGGAGGTTACAACTTTTTAATTGTATTTACACAAACTCGAAACACCGATCGCGTAATGTCATTATTACTTACTGTCTAATAAGTCGTCTAATTCTGGATCTTCCGTTTGCTTCGTAGATTTTTCGTTAGCCATATCTCCTGTGTAAGATCAGAAGTATCGTACTTAGAGCTTCGACGTTGACAATTTTTGATAAATAAATCGTGATACGAAAGTTTATGAGTCGAAATTGACGACACTAGTATGCAGCCTCATCACCGTTTACATATTATGTGCATGCATAGATATACGTAGAACGTAGGTATGCATATGTACGTATCGTATGTAAACACTTTTAGGCAACTGATTTAACTCTTTTTAACAGATATAAGTGATATAACGTCAGTTTTCTGGTTTTTGCATTTCGGTCATTCGCAGTCATTCGCCAGTCATCTACGCTCGTTCCAAACAGTCCCAAAGTCCCAATTCGTCCCCGCTCCAACGGCTCCAAGTGGCTCCAAGCTCCAACTCCGCTCTTTTAAAGTGTTTACAGTTCATAGTTCACACTGTTCAGTGTTCACACATTCATGAGCACGTGTACTAATGCATTACTAATGCTAATACCAGAGAGAAAATTTTCTCTTTGCTAATATATTACCTCATCGGAGAGCTGGGAAAATGGCAAGTTTTACGAAAGCTGTGCAAGTTTCGAAAAGTGTAAATAATATAATAAAAGGATTGACAAATTTGTCTCTACTTCCCAACGTTAATACAGCATCGAGTTTAACATTTGCTATTCGAAGGTTTTTATCACTTCTTTTATCTGTTCTTGTATATTTTTGATCGCTATACTTTCTGATGTCGAACCTGCATAGCGGTTATGCACAGCATAAAGTAGCCTTCGCTCGTTCGATTTTCATTGTAAAAATGATTAAAACTGTTTAGAGTGCCGACTATTCAATGTGCATTCATTCATTCAACGCCTAGGCGAGATGGTTTGATGGAATTTTTCGATGTACCGAAAAATTGGGGACAGGATAAAGTACGTGTAGGACGGTCATGGAAATTGGATGAATTGAGACTGAAAAGTAACGAGGAACTCCATAAATTATGGTTAGAGACGAGTCTAAGACAAAAACGTATAAGGATATTCTTGTCGTATGTAAAATTGTCAATTTTATCGAAACGTACATAGGTTCGTCTTGCTGAAAGAACGCAATATGCTCCTAACGATGGAGGAAGCTCACAACCGGGAATGGAAATATTTTCCAAATCCTGAAAGAATTGATAAAGTCGAGGATAGTATGGCTAACTTGGAAACTGTGGTCCGTGAAAGGAATAAGGCTTATCATATGCTCGAAACTGGAACAGATGGAGAACGACCTGCAGCGCTAAGATTCAATCCACTTGGTAAAAGATATTCCAGATATGTGTTTTGTATCCACCGCACAAAATATGTATATAGAAATTGTTGTGGAACTTTGTAGAACAATTGTAGCTAATATATTTTGTCTTATAGGTTTACGTTTTTTGTACCGAATGCGTCAATACGCTATACCGAGATTTATGAATACCAAATGGAAGAAGACGCACATGTTTGGTTACGGCGGATACGCAGTGCACAAATTTTTGCGATTGTACAGAGAAAAACTTTGGAACGCGAAACGTAAAGCACGAAAGTTTGTATTCGATGAGGTCATCTTTCTAATCATTTCCTATCTTTTAAATACGATATATTTCAAATTGTCTCGTTATGTTTCAGTCGTGAGATGGGTAAAGTCTGTACTCTGTTGCGAACTTTCCCCAATCTTGATTTGGAAGCCGTAAAAGAAAAATATCCGTCGGTAGATCTAGAGAAAGCGAAGAAGAGTAGAAAAATCGATGGACATTTCGTACGCGATTGAATGTGATTTCAACGTGTCAGTCAGAATCGTATCGTACTTCCGTGGAACAAGTACGTACAACATTTCAAATGATATGTTTAAGGATGTATTGGCTAAACAGTCAATCCCAAAAGTTTATGTACCTTAGAAAAACACATTTCCTATAATTAAAAAGAAATCAGACGTCGGAAGAATAATGCTAATAATAAATAGCTACGTGCTAAAAAGTATAGAAGGAAATATCCAATTAAGTATTGACT